ATACTGGCAACATAGTACAGCACCAGGTGCAGGTGTTCACCAGTCATAGGCTGACCCCTGCTATTCCTCAGCCTTGTGTGAGTCCTCAGCCACCTCTCACAAGCCCAAGAAAACAAGCCCATTTCCGGTGTTTATTCACTGAAGGTGCATGCTCTATCTTCACAATAAAGTAAAAACTCCTAAGTAGGAGACTGTCTGTATCTTCAGATAGTTTTTCATACATTGGAAATACTTAGATTGTGATACTAAGGAATGGTAGGCCTCTATAAATGAGCAGGTGTTCTACCCCACAGTAAATACCGTATGTTTTCTTTGATGAACCAGAAGTAAAAAGCTTTCCTCTAGTGGGTAATTCATTTCTGCTTAATTTTAGCAGATACAACATTTCTGCTATCTTTAGAATAATGATATTTGAGTCATTTGGACATGATAATTATTTCTGTATTATGTAGCATGAATGAGCCAAATCAGTAGATAGTTAAGTGGATTTTTACTTGAATCATTGGTAAATTCTGCCAGGGTCATTTTCTGAGACTGTGTTGAAAGCAAGTAAATGCATTGTGTCATATGATGTATGTAAGTAGGGAAAAGGAGACCATTTCACATATTTTTGTCAATTTAATGGAGGATTCCTAATAACCTCATGGGTTTGAAGTAATTTGTTTCATAAAAGCTGTGATTATATAAAATACCTGTACGAAAAGTAAATTTTAAACCTAGTAAGATAACGTTATGTTAATTTTGGTTTTCTTTCTCTTTTTTATGTATTTGGTACAGAGTCTCACTACATGGCTCTGACTTGCAGTGATTCTCTTGTTTTCAGCCTCCTCAGAACTGGGATTACACCATGCCCAGACTCATTGGCCGGCTCAGGGCTCCCCCGGGGCGGGGCTGGCGCAGCATGTGGGTCCAGGGATCAAACCCTGGTCCCTATGCTTGCCAAAGCAGGCACTTAATCCACTGAGCTGTCTCGCCAGCCCTTGGTTTTCTTAATATTTCTTGGAATTTTAGAAGTGTGGATGTTAGTTGCCCTCCATAGCTGGGTAGTAAATTATGTTTGTGCCGTCTTTAAACCATGTGTATTACACTCCCATGTGTATGGTGCTATCAGTCAGACTATGGTCTCACAACACTGAGGAGAGCTTTATTGGAAATCAGAATAGCTCCTGGGTTTCCAGGTGGATGTCCCGAGTGGGTAGCCACTGAGGCTTTTGATCAGCAGTGTTTTGTACAGCAAAACCACCACATGTGTTCAAAGTGGGTCTAACCATCTTTGACCTGTAGGTTACAGGTCTAGCTGTGTAGCTGATATTTATCCATTAGGGAAGTAAGGCACATAGCAAGGGTACATGGTGAGCATCACCATTTAAATATCTTTAACTTCTAAGCATAGGAGGAACAAAACCTTCCTGGAAAGGGAGTCCAGATTTTCTGTTGCCACTTACTGTCCAGTGCCCATGTGGGCTCTCTGTAGCAGGTGTTGATAATTGCAGTGTAATCTCAAGCTGCTGTTTATCTCTGGGAGGCTGTACGCCTGACTCTTATGTCTCCTCCTTGAGCTCTGGCGCTCCTCAGGTTGGCCTCCAGCTCGTGCTTGGTGTGGCATCTTTTGCACTGGCTTTAAGAATCCAGTCACTGTTACTGCCTATTAACTTCTATCTGACCTAACTGTCTATAATAACCTAATCCAAATTGAAAATTCTACATTATTTAGTAGAAATTGAAAGCCAAGAAATACAAGTGTTATTCCTTGTATTTATGTTTTATATGCAAATATTTTATACATTATTTTGACAAAGAAAAGTTATGTTTCCTTTTTATATAGTTTATGAATATTTTTATTGCTATTCTTCCTTCCTTTAAGGTATGGATGGCATAGTTACTTATTTTCTTCCACTTAATAGGAAAACTAGATCCAAGGGTAATTAAGGCTTCCCCAAAATACAATGAAAAGTATTAGAATTAAGGCTAGAATTTCTCTGTAGAGGTAATAGGCCACTTGCTTGGCGAAAGAAAGCTGGGTTTCTTTGTAGTGACTTGAGCCTGGTGCTTGGGTCCTTTATTTGGATCCCAGCCATGTTACTTGCAGTGTTTGACTTTATTAAAGTTACCTTCTCCACTTTATTTCATTTAAAAGTGTAGATAATATGGCTTACTTTGAGGAACTGAAGGAGTTCAGTGTATGTGAAGATTCAGAACAGTAAATGGTAAATGATGTAATGGCCTTAATATTTATAATAAAATTAATAGTAGTATTGATGTTAATTGTATTGGTACCAATATGGTTAACAAGAAAGATCACTAGAAGCATGTATGCTTTTATAATTTAATAGAAGAATCTACTAGATAGGATTCAAAGATTTATCAGGCATAAAAGGTTTTATTTTACTACACAATAATTAAGAAACAACATCAAAAGATAGCAGAGTCTCATGGTAAACAGTGACTGGAGGGAAAATTTGTAGCCTATATCATAAGGCCAGTCAAGCTTTCTAAGAACACCAAACCATTAAGGAACCACAACCCTCGAGAAAAAGAGAAAGACACCCACAGGGTCTTAGAGGTAGTTACCGCAAACTGAAGCAGCCCCCACTTTTCATATGGACAAAGATTGAAATATTCACATTGAGGAAGATGAGGCATTCTTAAGCATTATTGACAGAAGGATGTAGTGGTAGAACCTTGAAAGATCTTTGGCAGTGGTGAACTTTTAAAGCACAACCTTTTTATATTTCCAGTTCTATTTATAGGTAATTTATCTTACAGGTTGGTTACAGAAGTTAACTTCATACATGTAAATAAACTCACCCACTTAAATATTGATCAAATAAGATTTAATAAATAATGGTCTCTAAAATTAAATCCTCTAGGATTTTTTTTTAATGAGCAGAATATATTTATTGAGGGAAAGAAAGCTCCTGTCCATAAGAGGGACAGGAGGGGGGCCTGAGTGTGTAGTTCCCCAGGAAGCTGTCTTTTCTAGGGACTTGTATAGTGTAAAACCATGGAGGGCTAAAGTAGAGAAAGGGGGAACTCACTTACGTGGATGTGGGGTGGGACAAAACTATGGTCAACTAATGAGATTACAAGCACCATTGCTCAGGTATAATTGATTATGCCCAGGACCAAATGGGGAAACGAGTCACAGAGTAAGCAGGCATGAATACGGGACAGGGTTTTTTCCTGTTGGGGTGTTGGAATACAGGACAGGGTCTCTTCCTGTTGGGGCTTGAGCTAGTGACTCACTTGGATCTTTCCAGGTGATCAGTACCTATTTAGAATATCAATCCCAGGTGTTACTCTTTTAGCATTGGTTTGGCCTTTAGGTTTTTAGGTCTCGTTCACAGCAGGAGCATCCATCCCTCCCACAGTTGTAAGGTATCTTGTCTTTTGTGCTGTCTCTTTTAAGGGCCTGGCCCTGTCTGACTCTATAATATTTCTGTCTAACTTGGCTGTCTGCAATATTCCCCCCTCTGAAGAAGTAACCTGAACTGCTGTGAAGGGAAATAATGGGCGATGACCACTCTGGCTTCTTCAGGCTGAAAGGGGTCGTAGTTGTTGACCAGCAGTCAGGTATATTTTTTAGAGGTTCTATCTAAAGACCCTCAATACATGACAGGCATTTTTCTCTCGGGTAGACGTATAGCTTTGAGTCTGGAGGAGACAAAGCCAAGGAAACAATTAAGTATGCATGGGCCAAATAATCACAACAGGATAATTATGAAGAAGATGAGTTAGAACTTATTGTAAATCTGTTAGCAGATACCTCTTAAATGGGAGGTTTAATTTCATTTTTATCTTTTTGGCCATTGATATTGTCTCAAGGATTTTTTTAAATTAATTAATTAATTTATTTATATTGTGTGTGTGTGTGGCCAGTTCAGCCCACCAGGGGGCAGGGCTGGCTGGCATGTGGTGCTGGGGGATTGAACCGCGGTCCCTGTGCTTTGCTTGCTTAGCTTAGTTTGTTCTAAGTAGGTGCTTTAGACCACGGAGCCTTCTCACCAGCCCTCAAGGATTTTTTTAAAGCATAAGGAAGATACACAGTAATAACACAGAAGGATATGTGGGATAGATTAAGTAGAAAACAAAGCCAGTTGTAGGACTTCATTAGGATTTTGTTTGTGCCAACCTATATACGTTAAGTCTAGAAAGAATACACAAGAAATTAACTGTAGTTGTATCTGGGAAGTAGAATGTCAGCTAACAAAGGAGGGTATTTTTACTTCTTGTTTTCCTTCATTCTTCATTGTCTGAATTTTTTTTTTAAGTGATGTCCCTCCCCCCCCCCTTTTTTTTTGGTGCTAGAACAAGAACCCAGGCCCTCCTTTGTGCAAAGCAAGCACTGTTCTATTGAGCTATAACCCTGTACCCCAAGCCTGTTACTTTTATACTGGGAGGGAGTGCTGTACTTCCTTTGTATTGGTTGTTTTAGTTGTCCATTGCTGCAGAACCTAATATCTTAAACCTAAATACTGTACTCATGGTTCAGTATCTGAGACATACTAATTTGGAACAGCCTAGTTGGGTAATTCTGGAATCGGAACCTCTCATGAGCTCATAGTCAAGCTGTTAGCTGGGCTACTGTGGTCTATTGTGCTTGAAGGTTGCATTTGAGATCACATGTGTGGTTGTAGACAAGTCTCCATTTCTCTTTGACCATTGTGAGTTCTGTTCCCACCCAAGGGCTTTCCCCACAGGTCTCTTCACACTTGGCAGCTTTGTCCTCAACACTGAGGAATGTGAGAGAAAGCACCAGAGCCCCAGTGTGGGCTAATTTTGCAAGTGGTGTAGTCATCTGGATAGGTTCTGGTACATTGTGACCAAAAGCGTACATGGGTGTACAAAGCAGAGGTGAAGGCCAGTGCCATAGTGGGTCTGTAAGAGTATTTCTTGTATTACTTTGCAGTTATGGAGAAGAAAATTAATCAGCTTCACATTTACGTATGGGCCCTCTTTTTGTCCATACTGTAATTAATGATTGGCTTTTTTTCCCCTAGGTCCGGCACAGAGTCAGATGCAGGTCCCATCTGGGTATGGATTACATCATCAAAACTATATTGCTGCCTCGGGACATTACTCCCAAGGACCTGGCAAGATGGCTGCATCACCGTTGGATGGCCAGTGCAGTGATTATTACTCTGGTCTCTATACACCACCAGCGCAGAAAGTGGCAGCCTCAAGCACAGCCAGCCATGAAGGAGCACAGCAAGTGTACTCTGGGGGGCCACCTGCACCGCCTCTTCTAGGGGCCCCACCCGGACTGGTCCCAGGGGCCTCTTCCACAGCATCCCTTATGCACACGAGTGCCTCCCAGCCATACCCCTCATTCGTGAATTACTACAGTAGTCCAGCTGTCTACACTGCCAACTCCTCCGCTGCCTCTCAGGGATTTCCTGCTACTTGTCATTACTCAGTGTCAACTGTTTCTAATGCTGTACATCCCAGTGTTTGCTATTCTTCTCCGCCTCCTGGTGACCCCTACACACGAGTGTTTACTTCACAGAATGCTCTGGTGGCCGGGTCAGGTAGAGAGGGCTCATTTCCTGGTCAGAATGCAGCTCTGAGCCACCCATCTGCACTGGGTCCTCTTCCGTCTCAGCAGCACCAGCAGCAGCAGCAGCAGACTCTTTCAGGGTTCAATACTCTGTCATGGTCAGTGCCAGGCCTTCCACCTGCCCAGGACAATCTCCTCCGAAACCATGCAGGATCTGTGGCCTCAGCCAGCAACAGCCCTGCAGGTCCTGGTAGGTTGACTGACATGCTTACCTCAACACATTGATCAGATCAGTGCCATGCAGGCTACTGTTTATGTAAGATGGTGAAGCCTCGTAGGAACACTGGGAATTAGCTTGCATCTCAATGTGTTTGCTTTGTTTGTTGTGATATTTTGCAGATTCACATTGAGCCCTTCCCTTTGCCATCCACAGTTAGCTGCAAAACCATCTGCCTTGGTTCCTTGCCATGGTTGGGTTCTTGGTGTCTGTTGATGTCCTGTGCCTCTCCAGTAGATGTCTTTAATGTGTTTAGGGCTTAGGACACCTTAGGGATTTGCCTTTCTGGCCTCTGCATTTTCTTCTATGTAAGTTCGAAATGAATAGGTGTTTTTCCATCCCGAGGCCTCCATTCAGCAAAAATGATAAATAGCCTGCAACGTTGTACTGGCTTGCCTAAGTGGGCCTCTGCAGAGATTTTTCACAGAAAATGCATTTGCTACACACAAAAGCTGTTTTCTCATTCTAAGTTGGTAAATTAGGATGAAGGCTAAGGAGGGGGAGATAAGATGCATGGAGAGAATGCCCTGGTAGTTATCCTTCCCGACTTTCCTAAACTAAGATGTAGTTAGATGTGCTTTAAAAATTATGTAAGATGCAGAAGTACCTTGGATCTAATTCTTACCATGATCTTAATTCTAAGTGAAATAGACACCGCAGCACTTGGGAGGCTGAGGCAAGAGGATTGATTGCCTGTCTGTGTTGTTCTTTACTGAACAAATGAACAATACACACAGTTTGGGGCAGGCAGGGCAGGGCCTAACCCTTCCCTGAGGAGCACTTAAAGAGATTTCAGAGCTCATGAGTGATTTCATCTCTGCTTTAATGTACGTGTGTATACCTACAGGTGCTGGCTCAGTTATTTTTCTCTCATTGGGACAAAATACCCAACACCCAGAATTAAGGAAAGGTTGTTTAGCTCAGTTAGTGGAGGCTTCAGTCCATACTCAACTGGCTCCAAGGCAGAGTGGTGCATGGCGGAGAGCAGCAATTGTGTGGAAAACAACAGAGCAAAGGGAGGAGCAGCAGCTGTTTGCAAGCCTCTTTCCCCTCCTTATATTGTAATGCACGTTACCTATCCTAAGGCAGGTGTAGCACTCACACCCATAATCCCAGCATTGGATCAGGAGTTAATCGCTAACTCTGCCTGGAAGCTGCCCCATAACTGCATGAGGCTTTGGGGGAATAACTAGACACAAATCATAACAGGTGCCTATACTTGATCTTAGATGATTATGTCTTAAGTTGGCACCTGCATACTCCTCTTAAGTATTTTCATTTACTTTGTGTTATGGTGGTGACAGAATGCAAAGTCTTAGTCTTGTTAGGCGAAGCTTCAGCCAATGAGTGAGAGCCCCAGCCCATGTTAAAATTTCTGTTGTCAGTTTACACTCACAGTTGTAAAAATAACAATCTGTAACTGGTTTAAACCTACATTGCATGGTTCTGTGGGTTTGTTGGACATTTCCTCTGCTGGCTGTCTGGGCTCATTCATGTGAGTTCATTGAGCTGGGGGTCTTCAACAGGCTAGAAGACCCTGGAAGGCTTCCAATAGGTCTAGCAATTGGTGTACACTCTTCCCAGGCACCTGTGTTTTTCTCCCTAGACTGGATCCACTTCTGTGTATGATGGTCCCGCAGTCTTTCAGGAGTGGGAGGGCATCAGCTGCAAAGCATCTGGAAATCCAGCGCCTGCAGTGTGTACCCTTTTACTTCTACCACAAACTGTTGCTTAAAGCTAGCCACAAAATTATTTCTAATTCAAAGGGTGGGAAAATAGAATCCACTTTTTTGAAAGGAAAGCAAGGGGCTGGGGAGGTAGTGTGGCAGAATAAGTGCCTGCATGGCAAGTGCAAAGTACTGAGTTCAATCCCCAATATGGGGGGTGGGGGGAGCAAAGAACAACAAAATATTGTAAAGATATTTTAAGTCTCTGAAAATGACAGTCTGCTTACTCAAATTGATGACACAGTCATATTTAAATTTCTTTTCCTAATTTCTCTTTCAAGGACACACAGTGTAACACATTTTGTTCTGTCCCCATATTCCTGTTTCAGTCTTAGACCTATTTATATTCATGCATATGTACATCCTAATATGTATGTACATATAAATGCCTATATTTGTATTTATTCAGCATACTGTCACCATGTACTGTTGCTCTTTTGCCATGAGTTTTCAGTTATCCTTTGGTTGGGTGGTCTTAAAGATTATCCTATAAGTCAGAGTTTTCAACCAAAGGAAATTCCCCCCCAGTGGACCTTTAGTAATTTGAACTATCACAAAGACTGCTATGAATTGCATGTACTTTGTTCCAGAAGTCTATCCTAGGGGTATGATGAGGCCTTCAGTATGTGTGAAATAGAGTATCCGATAAGAAACAGCAAATGAGTAGTGGGAGTTGCCAATTTGGAATGAGATCAGAGCTGACACAATAGTGGTCATCACTAAGGAAACTCTTGTTTGGGGTTCATTGTATCTAAGAGTGTTGTAGGACTCCATTGGTATGTCAGTATACCCCAGGGAGAAATAGCAGCAGGAATGAAGAAAAGATAGACAAGAAGACAAGAGTTAGGTGGTGCCAGTGCCTGATTGACAAACAATTCCCAGAACAATAGTAGGGGCTTTTATTTATACCTTTGCAAACTTAGTGTCATGTGACACAAGGTTGCCTAGTGACTAATAGCTGACATTAACCAGGCAGGATGCTTTTCTCAAGACTGAGGTAGCTTGATTCTTTAGACAAAGAACCCTAGTCCTGCTTTCAAACATTTGACCAATTTTAAGCTTCAACAGCTCCCGACAAAAGGAAGATATGACATATTTTGGGAAAATTACCATGAAAAAGTATTAAAACAGTTGATCAGTAATTTTCAGTTTTTATAGAAAGTCATGTCTTTGGACTACTTTGTTTTGTAAGAGACAAGATAAATATGCTACAAAACTTCAAATAAACTGTATTTTGTTAAAGAGTCTTTTAATACATTTCAAGCTTGTTGCTGTGCATAAAGTAGTTTCTTGTCTCAGTTGCAGTCTCTCCAGCTGGTCCTGGCATGCAGAATGTCCCACCACCCAGGCCCGTCTCCACTGTTCTGCCTGGAGCACCATCAGCAAGAGGACCACCTGCTGGGAAGTACCCACAGGAGTCTGCGGCCTTGGGCACTCAGCCGTCAGAGCTCACTCTGCAGAAAGGTACTCTCCTGTGTGCCACACAGCCAGGACTTGTTTTTAAAGGTCAAACTGTATAAGCATAATTTGTAGAAAACAAAAGTAATCATTGTATCAACCCAAACATAGCTGTATTCTATATATTAATTTCCAGTTTTTGTTGTTAACTGTATATTTTATGTGATTGCAACTATAATTTGCATACTGTTTTGTACTTTGCTTTTACTTTTATTGAATTAAATGTAGTTCTTCATATATACTGTAGTGTTTTTAGCCACTTCCATAACTAGTAATCCATAGTTGTACTGCTTTATGACTTACTAATCCATTCCTGTATTGTGGGACATGTATTTCCATTTTTTTAATTTTTTTTTTTTTTTTTTTAAATCAAGAGTTTCCTCTTTAGGCTTGGGGAGATGGCTCAGTGGCTTAAGTGCCTGCCCGGCAAGCACAACATCCTGAGTTTGATCCCCAGTACCAAAAAATAAAGTAAGCGTTTCCTATTTAGTGGATCTCCATGTCCTATTGGATAGTTCTGTGCTTGTCTGGGGTTTTTTTGTTTTGTTTGTTTGTTTGTACTGAGAATCAAACTTAAGATGTTGTGCTTGCTAGCCAGGCACTGTGCCACTGAGCTATATTCCTTGTCCCAATTGACATTGTTAATAGAAAGTATCCTTTGACACAATTTTGGGAATAAGGAAGGGTGAAAATGAAATTGTGACCCCCCCACCTTTGGATATTTGATTGTTTAATATTCTTAATAAGTGATAAAATGTATTATTTTGATAACCACCCACCCCCACACACACATTCTTTTTTTTTTTTTTTTTTTTTTTTTTTTTTTTCAAAAGATTTGTTACTTTCTGTTTGACCCAAACTCCAGAATATTCATGTTTTAGGTCTTGTATTTTTTCATTGGACCAGAAGTATACCAGTACCTATAGTTCATGTTTTCAGAGCAATTGTAGTAATATTTTAAGGCCTATGTTCTCTGTGTGCTGACAGCCTCCACCCTTGAGTATGAAGGACTGTTCTGTTCTGAAGCTCAGAAAAAGCAGAAGCATCATAAATTCTTAGCCTGCCTGGTCTTGCAGTTTGTATCTGCTGAGTATTTTTGTGATCAGCAGAGGGCTTGCTATCAGTTGATCAGATTATACATTGTAAATGTTTTTAAAAGAAAAGCAACCACAGCACTACCGAGTATTAATTGATTCTCAAAAGCCAGTGATTGTGCTGGGAATAAAAACCTAGTGCCTTAAAGCATTTTCCACCAAAATGAGGTAGATCTGGTAAAAAATTTTTATTTATTCATGGGTGGGAAAAACTTAAGGGTAGGTTGGAACTCTGAACTAAATGAATGGTATCTTTTTCTAGAGTGAGGGTTTTTTTCTATTTCTTACATCGCTTGCATATTTTGACCCCTTTACATTGCTCCTGCTAAATTCTTCCTATTGTTTCTTTTTTAACCATCCTGCTATACATACCATCTTACTGTAGGTATCATTTTAAAAAGCCCTTTACCAATAATCATAATTATTTTTTACTAATACAGTAGATTTTAAAGAGAGAAGGAGCTACTATTCATGGAGCACTTAGAATATTCCACTAGTCCCTATATTAATTCCATGACGTAGATATTATCCCTGATTTATAGAAGAAAAAGTTAGATTCAGTGTCTAGGAACCCCCAAACTACATGTTAATTATAGCCAGAGCAAAAAATTTCTGAATCAAATCTATCTTGTTTTCTTTCCGATTTGTTGTAAGACCGATTTGTTGCTGTCTTAAAAAAACCCAGGAATTAATTAAGATAAACTACTTAAGTAACAGAAAATATGAGAGGTGTGAGTTACAGTTTTTAGGGTTCCCTTTTAAGTAGCTTGACCTCTTAGTGGTATCTTTGCTTTGCCCAGTCTGGGGATAGAGGCTGATGGTTTGTATCAGTCCTGGCTATCAGGACTAGCTGTGCAAGTGGTGCACCTCACCTGCATATGAGACCTCTCCCTCAGAACTGTGCCCTGAGCCTTGTATAGGGAGTGTGCAGGCCTTGGGGCCACTCAGTAAATGAGTGCACTCTGTCCCCATATCCTTGGGTTCCATATGTCTGGATTTAATTGACTACAGATGGAAGATGTTCAGGGGTAAATATGTCTGTACTGAACATGTGTAGACTTTTTCTTAACAATTTATTTTCTAAAACTGTATAACATAATAAGTATTAACATAGCATTGACTTTACATTAGGTGTAGTATGTAACGTAGAGAGGATTTAGAGTGCAGGAGAATGCCTGTAAGTTATACGCTGCACTGTACCGTTCTGCACAGTGGACTCGTGTGCAGGGCTTCTGGCATCACAGGGGTTCTGGGACAGATCCCTGGTAGGTGCTGAGCTACAGCTGTGCTTAAGCAGAGGAGTTAGCCACAGTGGGGCAAGCCTGGAGCCCATCCGTGGGAGGCTGAAACAGTGTGGTGACTTAGCCACCACCTCAAGAGAAGAAATCAAAGGGCCAGGGATATAGTAGGTAGCTCAGTGGCCCTGGATTCAGTCTCCAATCCAAAAAAAAGCCTAGAGTAGCTCCAAAGTCATCCTTACTAAAGCCAAGTATTTTTGGTAAAATAGGTAAATTTCACATTTTTCTTGAGCCCCCCCCTACACACTTGAATAAATAACTGGGTGTCATGGTGCACACCCATAATCTCAATGCCCAGGAGTCTGATGCAGGAGGATCACCTCCAGTGCAAGGCAACCTGGGAACATAGACCTTGTCTCGAAAAAAGCCCATACAACTATGAAGGCATTTTTCAGATGGACATGTAATACTTTTTGTAAAAAATTTAAATCGTTGAAGTTGTGGGATATATTGACTTTTTAAATAAAGATGTTGAGCTAGGTAAAGTGGTACACACCTGTAATCCCAGTATTTGGGTAGATGAGGTAAGAAAATTGCTATAAGTTCAAGGCCAACCTGGGCTACATGTTCAAGGCCAGTTTGAACTACATAGTGAGACTCAAACCAATAAAGTAAAAGAAAATAAAGATGTTATATTACTCATTTAAATGTATGCACAGGAAACTATCATCCTTTTTTAAAAAAGCTTTTCTTCGACATTTGTAAGTTTGCATTTCCCCCAAGTTTTTTTTCTTTTTTTTTCAAAATTGAAGTTTTAAAATTTAAGTGCCTATAATCATAAGCCTGTAAATATTATTATTTCTTTCTTTTGGGTTAAGGTATAGTTAGGATTATAATAGAGTTAATTCATAAACTTTGGCATTACTATATGGAAAGTACATTTTTATTAGAAATACATGTTTCAGTGAAATGAATGTCCCTCCATCAGAGCTTTGTATTTGGTTATATTTGTGGTTTATTGTTAAAATACAATAGGGTGTAGACCTATTCCATTCCTAGTTTCCATTTTCATGCATGTAATTAATAAGAAACCTGTTCACATAAGAGATAAGAATAGTATTGGAGAAGTTATTAAAGTAGTATGTTAAATTTTTTTAATATAAGTTACATACACATCAGAAGTTACTGTTTGTTGTAGGTGTTGCTTAGTTTTTTTGTGGTGGTTAACATTATTACTGTCATGTCACAATGCAAAATTTCTAAGTTCCTTTAACTTATCTTATTTGCTCACCACTTAACTTCATACCCCAGCTTCCTTTTATGAAAGAGGAGATGAAGTTCAGAAAGGCTGTTCTCTGTCAGAGACCCACAGACCACCAGCAGGGCTGAGGCTGTGTCCATAGACACAGCCCTAGACCTAGGGCTGTGCTCACTGGGTCAGTACTCAGAATGTTGTGAACCTTTTTACGCTATTGCTGAAATAGTATCTTAGTGTATTCTTTCATTATGTTTTAAAAATTTGTGATGTAAGATTCATTTATTTTATGGACAATATTTCCATATAACCTAATTGGTAAAGGCAGTTCTCAAAACATATACTACTAAGTACTAGTAGGTTCACATGCTGGTAAATTTTTTTTCTTGTTAAAACAGCGTAGAAGGTATTAAATATTTTATAAAATTGAGGATTATTATTTACATTGCAATTTACACTATTACAATTTAACTTTTAAATTTATAATATAACATATGCTATATCACAAATGTTGTATGGTAAAATAGGTTGTAAATGCTTTATTATACATCTTTATTGACTGAAAGAAAAATAGGATTTATTCATAGTGCTTGGGATTGAACCCTTTGCTTTACAAATGTGGGTGCTCTACTGCTGAGGTATACCCCACAATCCATGAAGGATTTTATCCTTTTATCCTCATCCTTGTGTTTTATCCATTGTATCTTGAGTAACTATGGTATTGTAGAAAATATTCCACTTTGTTTTTACAAGAGTAATGACCGTAGCTACATACACTCGTCACGTGATAAGACCAACTTTTTCCTTTTTTAGTAACTTGGTTTAGGGATGAGTGTTAAGAATAACTGAAAATAATTGGTTTTAATTAAATATTTACAAAAACACTTAAAAGTTTAGTGCTGAAGGCCAGGCATGGTGGCGTATGTCTGTCATCCCAACATTTAGGAGGTTGAGGAAAGGGGATTGCCACAAGTTTAATATGGTGTCAGTTACCATATGTATAAGCATTTGAAGTACATTAACTCATTTAATCCTCACAACAGCCACTTGAGGTAGGTACTATCTCATCATATATGGATGATAAAAAAGAGATTATAACTGCCTCTGCGGATGTCCACCTAGTGAGTGGAGCAGGAGCTGGAATTGACCCAGAGTCCCACCTTTGTCCAGTTGTCATCTTGCTACTCTGTTCGTATTTCTTTGTTCGTATCATTCTCACAGGACTGATATGATTGGGTCTGTATAGAAAAAGAATCAGGGGCTGGTGAGATGGCTCAGTGGTCTAAAGCACCTACTTAGAACAAGCTTAGCAAAGCACGGGGACCCGTGGTTCAATCCCCCAGCACCACATGCCAGCCAGCCCTGCCCCCTGGTGGGCTGAGCTGGCCACACACACACACACACACACACACACACGCACACACAAATAAATAAATAAATAAAAATTTAAAAAAAGAATCATTAACTGATTTCTCATTACTCCTGCCATCTACTTTTCATATTTCTGAATTAAGTATTTTCAGTGAGAACCGGTCCTCTTAACATGTTTCACCTATGACTAAAATATATCTGTCAGGAAGAAACTAGGTTTGGGGTTCCTTGATGAATCCCAGAAGGAGGAAAGGAGGGAGGCAAGGCAAAAAGGAAGCAAGCAGGCAAGCTTGCTTTCTTTTTAGTGCCAGAGAGTTTTTTCTGCCTTGGGGATGGTTGTAACTAAGTCAGGGTCCTGTGTGTCTTGTGACATGAGATTAAGGCTGTTGTAGGCTCTACATTAGGTGGCTAGGCTTTAGGAAAATGTCTTTACAGAAATTGATACCTGATTGATTCCTTGAAAGGTGTTCTATCATATACAGCATTCTTAGTTTGAAGACCAGCTTAAGAAGAAAGGTAGCAGTTGCTGAAAACCTAAACTCTTACAATTAGGGAAAAAAAAAATTTAAAAAAAAAAAAAAAAAAAAAAAAAAACAGCTGCCATAAGGCATTTGTTCCCTTAAAAGCAGGTTGCTTTGTCCCCAGTGTGCAGCCAGCCGTATCCAGGGAACAATGCATATGCACAGTCCCAAGGGCTGGGTCTCCTGGGCGGTTCACCTCCTAGGTGCTCTGATGAATGTCCTTTTGAGTCTCATGCCCTGCCATTGAATCAGAGCCTTACCCATGCTAGGCCAGTGTTCTGCTGTTAGTTATACCCAAGCTATCAATAGTTTGGGTGGATTACTAAAGGTCTCCATTCATTGTGTCAAATTCTGTGAAATGCAAGTTTAAAGTGTTTCTTTTATTATTTACTATGGGTTTTTTATACAAGGTATCGCTATATATTACAGGCTGGCCTAGAACTTGCCATGAAGCCCAGGCTGGCCTCACACTTGGTCATCCTTCTGCCTTGGCCTCCTAAGTGCTGAAATTACAGATGTATGCCACCATGCCGTGCTCTGTGAAGTGTTTCTTGCCTTCTGTTTTACTAGATTCATCCCTTAGGGACCGATTAAGACAGTGAATTTGGATATAGATTTGCTCTTTCTTTGGGGGTGGTAATAGGCAGGTCCTCTTGTATCCATTTACGCAACAAATTTCAGGATGGGCTCTAGGAGAGGTGTCATCCTGTTACCTTGAAGATTTGAGTTTTTCAAACACAGGTTCTGGCTCTTGGTGAGAATGAGCAGAGGCACTTATAGGACGTCCTATAACGATTTGTGTTTTCTAGAGTAGATAATGTGGCAGTTGGCACTTGGTGGCCGTAACTCCCAATCTGAGTTATTTGTAGTCCGTCTGAGTTGCACACAGCCTAAAGCAAGGTATTTGAATATATTGAATGTAGAGTGATTATTACTCTGGAACTGCTCCCATTCCTCTGTGAATGAACAAAAGTGTCATATTCTCAATTTTTAGCAAGTTTATCCAAATAGGCACAAGCAAGCCAAGATCTGAGCACAAAGCTGTGGTTACAAATGGCTTAAATCTTGGCTAAAGTCTAAAGTGCCAAGCATATTTTCACTTTTTTTTTTTTTTTTTTTTTTAATGTATTTAGTACAGAGTCTCACTACACAGATCGGACTTGTAGTGATCTTCCTGTTTTCCTTTTAAAAAGATTGTAGTTATTTTGGGGAGACAAAAATTTGCGAATGTTGGGTGTTAACATAGTTCATTGATAACCACAGTATAAAGCAAAAATGATACTTATTATTACATAACTGTCTTATTTGCTTCCATTAAATCATTGGATACTTTTCTAAGAATTGAAATCTGTTTTCATTCAGCAAATCTGGATGGGAGGAAAACATGGGAAAACACTTTATTTTTAAATAAGTTCTTAAGTTAAAGAAGAGTTTCTTTGCCAGAAAACCTTTTACTATTCTTCTGTTTTATCATGAACTTTATATTTAAACTAAGGTCTAATACTAGTGAAATTTTCATTTTAACTAGGCTTTTGTTAGAGGACCATGCCACTCTGAATTTGGAAGGTATCACATTTATTTCTTGTAATGCTGAACTTATTTTATATTGAATGGTAACTTTCTCGGATGAATTTGTGATTATGGCTGCTTTACCTATATTTTAAAGTGTTTTCAGCAAAGCTAGCAGACTTCCCATGATGTTTGTGGTCATAGTGGGAAGATCTTTACTCACCTACAGTTTAACAAGCCCTTTTTTTCCGGGGGAGGGGTTAAATGTTCACTTTAAGTGGAGAGCAATCCCAATTATAGTTCTTCAATTGTGATGCCTTTCTGTTATGGAAACTGAGTCACCATGAAGGTGACAGTGGAGGAAGGAAAGTCCCAAGCAACCAGATGTGTTCTCTGTGCTGTACAAATTCAGTTCAGTTGAAATGATCACTGGCCACCATAGAACGCTGTCCTCACAGATGTGTACTGCAGGGGCCTATGGTCCAAGCAGGTAAATGTATATGGAGCTCAGAAAAATATCACATTGTTTCCTGAATATCCGTGTTGTACATGGTACTGTTTTTTTATGCTTAAAGCAGCTAGTTCATATTAAAGCTGCTTTTACTAAACTGCTTTGCAGAAGTTTTCTAACAGTTCTAGTTTTTTAATAAATTTGCTAATATTAATATGCATGCTGGGTTCTTTGGAATGTCAGAGTTCTTCTCACTTTTAATGCAATGTCAAAGTTTATTTCTCGTCTTTCCTGTTGGTTTGACTCTTGTGTTTGTGCTTTCCACTTTACAGGCATGCAGTATGGTGACTATGTTAATAATCAAGCTAGCTCCGCACCGACTCCCTTGTCATCAACTTCCGATGATGAGGAAGAGGAGGAGGATGAGGAAGCAGGTCTGCTTTAGCTTTACACCAGTTTTTGATCTTTCTTCTACTCAAGTTTTCTTTTGTTTCTGTAGTCTTAGCCTTTTGAAAAAGTATCTGAAGATTTTACATGATGAATCTACTTGGTTTGGGTTATAGAAGGCTGGGTCACTTGAAATGAGGAATTTGTTTTCTTTTTTCTCCTCTGGATTTGTTTACCTTATATAAGCAATGGATACCTCGTTCATGATTAGCAGGTTGTTTTCTTCTGTCAGAAATGCCTTTACTTCTCCCATGTCATGTTCCAAAGAATAACCTCCAACTGAAGTTTAGGGCTACTGGCTGCTGTGATCCCTTTTCTGAGCGGTATTTCTGCTTTGCATGCTCTTCTATGCTAATCAGAATGAGCCATGTGTATTTTGTAATAGTGGTAGAGAACTAGGACCAAGTTCTGTGAGGTCTTCCTGGCTCTTTTCATGTACTTGGCTCAAAACTTATTTTCTTGAGCATGAAGTAGTATTTCCTCTCATGTTCATTAAACACATGGTACATATGCTTATGAGTTGTAGCTGGGTTAAAACCTTTTCCTTCCTTGATGGGTAGAACATACTAAAAATCATGCAGTTCACCTTCTCTGTTAATTCTTGACAGTTTAAGACTGAACCAACAAATGTTGATATTTCAAGTTTTTATTAGTAACTAAGATTCTCCATTTTTTTTTTTTTATGGGAAGATTTGCTGTACAATGTATTTAGTAAAGTTTATATTTTCTGTGGATTTTTAAAATATTGCAGTGTTTAATGCATGATTTGAGGGTATAAAGGAGAGGGTATTAGATAGCAAGTAGTTGTTTTAAGATTGGAAATCAAAAATTTTAAATAATTTTCTATCTTTTAATATCTCAAAGAATGCAGAAAGATTGAAAGAAGCTCCTTATGCAATAAAGCATTTTTGCCTCATGTGCTTTGCAGTTTTCTTCGTGTGTGCTTCCTGTGTTGAGCAGGATACAGTGATGCCTGGCACACAGCCCCCCAAACAGGCTCAACAGCTACCTCAGTTTGGTCTTACAGCTATTTTCATGGCCTGGGAGCTCTCATGTCAGGTGTTAAGTCAGTTGTCATGTCTATTTAGGTCCTTCAATCTGGGATAATCCCTTAGCCTTTCTTTCCTCAGTTTGATTCAAAGAGCACAGTACAGTTAAATATTGTAAAATGTTCCTCTGAATTTATGTGCTATTTCTTCATGATTAGATTTGGATCACTTATCCTTGACAGGATGTCTGAAGTCATCCTGAAAGCACATGTTGGTTTCTTCTTGTATTTATGAGACTAATTTTAATCACTCAATTATGGCCATGTCTGCCAGCTTTCTCACTATAAAGTTACATTTCCCCCATTAAATGCATAAGTAATTTGTGAGAGTCTTTAAGGCTGAGTGTCCTTTCTTTATCAAACTTACTCATTCATTGTAGCATTCATTTATGATTTTCACTCTCACAGTCCTAAATTGGTGAGTTGGAATTTCACGGAGAAATTCATTGATTACCTTGTCCTCAATTTGGCTAGAGCTAGCGTCTTCAGGCTGGCTTTGTTGTCTATAAAATGTTACTTTAAGGTCACAGTAATTATTCCAAACTTATCTTGGATTTCCTTTGTGTAATACTGGAATGAGGTTTTGCTCCAGGGATTCCTGGTTCCTTTAATCAATGAAGAAGTTTTTGTTTTTGCTTTTCTCTTTTTCATCTGTAACACTGTTTGGGGGTAGGGAAAGAGAAAAGAAAACAGAACATTTCTGAGCCTCTTGCTGCTATCTGTGTGATGTACACCTGCTCTGTATAATTAGTTTTAATAGTAGCCCACAGAGTGGGTTTTATTAGAGAGCTCATACTGAGGAGCAGCTCAGAGATGTTAAGTCCCCATTTTCCCTCAGCTGCTATGTGGTAGACTTAGAATTTGGTGGAGATTTTTTTCCTGTATTTTGTGCAAGTTAGGAGGAAATGAGACCTCAAATCATCAGAAAGGTTGAGGAATATTAGCAAGTTTAATAGTCTTCGTTGACCCATATGGCTTGGTAAAAGAGAAAAAACAGCAAAGCCTTTTCTAAAAGGCTTCATTGTTTCCTAATACTGTCCCACAACTTTAAGGATTATGAACTGTTCTTTTGATCTATCCCTTCTTTCCCCAGGTTCGCCCCTCCTTTTTTTTCCCTTTCTCTTGTTTTTCTAAACCATGATAGCCAGTAAAAATAATGAGGAAGAAAAGCTTTCCCAAATACAGTGTGTGCACTTGTCCTCTTTTGCTGTCAGCATCCTGGTGGCACAAAGTGACCTGACAAGGAACGTGGAGCTAAGGGTTAATGGGATCATGGTCAGAGCTAACTGGTCTGCACACTGAAAGCAGTATAGGCTGAGAGCCTCTCACACCTTAAAGCCTCAAATGAGAAATATTCTCTGCACCAGCATTCTGTACCAAAAACAACTCCACCTGAACCTAATGTGGCTCCCCATCAAACCCAGATGCATTGGAGAGTTTATGAAGTGACCATGTGTAGAAGGCATGTATGAAACATTGGTGAACTTGTGCTTGGACATGGGTCCTATCCCAAAGATAGCTTGTGTATGAAAATACTTCAAAATTGAAAGAAAAAAAATTAGTATCTGAAATACTCCTGGTTCTAGGCATTTTGGATAAGGGATACTTAGCCTGTTTTAGTTGGTACTACAATTCTACAGTCAATACAGGAAAGTAGCTTCTGGCTTCCAAATGTGTATGGCAGGGACACAGATATACTATGTGATCACAGTACCACTTGAGAAGTACAGTAGTTCAGGGTGAAAACCAGTACAGTGTCACAGGAAAGAGCATGATTTTCCCACAAGCACAAGGGAAAGAGTCGCTACAAGGCTTTTGAATTTGAAGCAGGGTGGGAATAGGCCATGTGGAGTAAGGAAAACTAGGTGACCAGACCACCATATGCTGTGCATGAACACAAGTCACACAGTGATGGTGAACCTCTTAGAGCTTTCAGTGATAACAAGCCTGTGCAGCATGCGTGCCGTAAGTCTGTCGCTGCTGCACTGAGGGAGAGCAGTAGGGGGAATGTGAGGAAAGCAGAGGAAAGACAAGTATGAGCCACAGAGTAAAGTCCTTTTGTGAGAGCCTCTGGAACTTCTCTAGGATGATGAGGAGAGTGAACATGTTCTGAAGTGTTTTACATGTAGATGAACACAGTTGCTAGTGTGTTCTCTCACTCTTGCGATTTCTCTCTCATTCTCGCTCTGGCTTTGGCTCTTGTTCTCGCTCTGTGTGTGTGTGCATTTCCATACAATTCCAGTTGGTGTTGGCAGTGGTGGCATGACCCAGTTATAGAGTGCGTTGATCTAAACAATAAGCTTTAGCAAACTTTAAACTTAACTTAGTGTAGTCTAGTAGTTTGAGTTTATAATTGCTGGGTTTTGTTTTGTTTTGTTTTTTGATACTGTGGCAGGTTCAGAATAGAGTTTTGCACTTAGTCTTGTGCTCTGAAAGTTAATTTTAAAATAAATGAGCAGATTTTGCTGAGTATGGTGGCATACACCTGTAATCCTAGTACTTGGAACACGGAGGCAGGAGGATTGCTACAAGTTCAAGGCCAGCCTGGACTACATTGAGAGAGAGTCCCTGTCTCAAAAACTAAAAATAAGCAAAATAAAATAAATGAACAGTTTTTTTGTTTGGGTGTTTTGTTTTTTTTTTTTTTTTTTTGTACTGGGAATTGAACTCTGGACCTTGTGCTTGCCAGGCAGGCACTGTCCTGCTGAGCTATATCCTGCCCACCCCCTCTTTTTAAAAAAAGCAGGGTTTAATTACTTGAATAAATAAACAGGATAACTAAAAGTTTATGATTATGATATTACTAAAATGGGCTGTTTTCAATATTTGCATTCATTTTAACATGAAAGAAGTTAAGTAATTTAATTAGTATGATCTTTGCAGTAATTTGATTGAAATGTTTAGTCTTTCATCTTTGGACATTTTTTTCCCCAAGAATGAATATTTCTTAACGTTTACATTGTGAACTTTTTCTTAGCTGGTAGTGGTAGCACATATGTGTAGTCCCAATGCTTGAGATACTAAGGCAGGTACATGGCAGGTTTGAGCCCAGCGTAGGTAGTGACATAGTGAGACTTTGTCTCAGAAAAGGGGCTGGGAAAGTAGCTCAGTGAGATGGCCTTGGACTCAGTCCTCACTACTGTGGGAGGAAAAAAAAAAGTTTTTTGGGTAAGAGAAAGGTAGTGTTTTTGTGATAGCTGTATTGAAATACAATTTACACACCCGAAGATTCAGCTATTTATATGTTCAGCAGCTTTCATATTTTCACGAAGTTTGTCAGTTTCACTACTCTGTAATTTCAGAACATTTCGTCACCCAAAATAGAAACCCTCTGTCTGTCTGTGGCCACATGCTTCCAAGCAGCACAAAGCTCGAGTCCTCAAGTCTGCTGTCTCTGATAGAGATACACCATCCTTGTAACTTTGGCCTCAAGGGTCCTGGGGCCTGACCCCAGGCCTGCACCTCTGAGCTCGACGCCCCCTGGCCAGCTGAGCTGCTTTTGTGGCTGTCTTCATTTCCCTTGGCATGTTTTCAAGGTTCATCCATAGCGTGTATTTGTATTTCATTCCTTGTCTTGCTAAAATTATGTATTTATAGCAGCCTTTACACATCCATTTGAGTTGCTTCCACTTTCTAGCTGTGGTGGTTTGTGGGTGTTTCATTCCTCTTGGAAATTTCATGATCCTGTGGTAACTCCATACATAAGCTTTTGAGACACTGCCATTGTTTTCCAGAGTGGCCTCAGCAGTCCATATATCCATGAGAACTCCAGTTTCTTCACCTCTTTCCCAGAACTTGCCATTCCCCATCTCTTTAATTGCAACTGCTCTGTGCTGTGGGATGTGAAGTGGTAGCGTGTTACTGTTGCATTTTCATTGCCCTAGTGGCTAGTTCTTTGGAGACTCTTTTCATTGGTTCTTTGTCCTTTATTTACCTTCTATTTTGGGTTTTGTTTTGAAGCAGTCATACCTAGGCTGCACTTAAATCCTCCTGCCTCAACCTCCCAGTGTGCAAGCCTGTACCACCAGACCCTTGTTTAACTTCTTTGAAGGAATATCTTTGCCCATTTTAATTTTTTTGATCTATTACATAGTTCAATCATTCTTTATATATTGTGGATACTACACCCTTATTAGATACATGATTTATAAATGTTTCTTTCCATTTTTGATTTGTTATCTCTGTGCGTTTTTTTCTGTTTGTTTGTTTGTTGTTGTTGTTTGCAGAACCAGGGATTGAACTCAGGCCCTTACGCTTGCCAGGGAAGTGCTTATTCCACTGAGCCATCTCCCCAGCCCCTATCTCTGTGTTTTAGTGAATAAATACATTTAACTTTTGTAGCCATTTGTACCTATTTTTCTCTTACTGCTTTGTTCTTTGATGCCATATTTAAGCACTTCATTGCCTATCCAAGTCCATGATGGTTTCTGTGCTCTAAGACTTATAGTTCTGGCACTTAGGTTTACATCTGTGCTTTATTTCAGTTAATTCTAGAGTAAAAAACAGGTCCAGCTTCCCCTCTGCACATGGACATATCTAGTTGTTCTGGTTCCAGTTGTTGAAAAGAAAGTTCTTCCCCACTGAGATGACTTGTTAATGTGCTTGGCTTTGTTGAGTAAAAGTTCTTGTACTGCAGATGAACTATTTGGAAGCACACTGTTTGATGGCAGTTTGTGCACACAGTGTTGTGCAGCCACTGTTTCCTCTCTTATGACTTTGTGAATTTTCTTTTTTTTTTTTCTTCCCATAATTTTATTGAGAAGCAAATAGCAATGAGACAGTTTCAAACCAAATTGGTAGGACAGTTTCAATAATTAACACATTGCATACATTCTTCCTAGTGGTTAATTGCTGTACAAGATGCAGACATGATATCCTATTTACAAACACCATTAGAACAAATCCCTCTATTCATTAAGAGAATGTAACTATATATCTATCCTAACCATTTTGAATACACAGATACAAAATGGTCATTCATCTGTATCCCCTTTTTTTTGTTAAGTTCCGTTATTTGAATATTATAGGTGTGTAAACTCAGCAAAATATTCTGAAAGAGTCCAGTAGTCCATAATACTATTGGGTCTTCCACTTCACTGGCAATGTCAGAAATTGTTGACCTGAGTCCCCTATAGCTCAACATAACAGCATGGCTTTACTTGTTATATTTCGTTTTTATACTCTTCTGCTGGATGGTTAAGACCAAGGTAAAGCAGGACCTATGCAACAAGACTTGTAGCTTTTGGGTCTGAGAAGGTCAATGAAATCCCCTTAGGATTTATCCTGAGATCCTGTACCTCAGATTGTAGAACCTGTCATTGTCAGCCATGTGGATGAGTTACAGCCATTGCTTGGCCAATGTGCTCTCTATGAAAGCCTGAGAGAATGTTTTCTCTCCATGTGACTCTGATGTAGGTTTCAACTAAGTAGACACAACTGAATGTTCTCATCACCTCCCAGGAGATAGTCATTCCCTCTGTGGTGCAGCCAGTAGGCCACTGCTGCGTCCTCCCCTGTCCATCCGCCCTTGGGGTTGGTGTGGGAGCTGTGAGTGTGTCTTTCCCTTGTGCCCTCCCAGCCCTTTGGCATACTCCATGCCTCACCACCAGGCAGCTGGTGACTTCATTCTTCCATGGCAGCTCTTGGCGCTTGTGCACTGCTTTCTAGTCTCTTGTGGCTGGACTTCTCTGACCATACACTTAGCATGCTACTGTACTTACAGACTCAAAGACACAGGGAAGAAAAGGAAATGCCCTTCCCTCCTGAACTCTGTTAGGAAGGTCAGCATAAATGCGGTGTATTATAAAAAGGCACTTAGTAAGGATTAGTGTCTTCTGCCTATTACTTTTATAGCCATCCTCCTGTATAAGTGCTGTCATATCCACTGTCTAACAGAAGCTCCAGGAGATCATTAAAAAGAAGACAGTGGACATTTTACAACTCAACCTTGTTTTGCAGAAAGCAGTATTGATGATTGGAACTTCCCCAAAGTTACACAGCAAGGGACTGGTAGAATCTGGTGGACCTTTTGCCTTCGAATTGTGTTATCTGTTGAGAAGAAAATGTTGATTAACTTCAGCTCTTGTGCTCTTAGTACACTCATCATACTCATCCATAGTTACTCAGTGAATGAGGACTATGCCAATCTTTTTATACCAGAGCAGAATCAGCCTAGGATGTCATTTAAACTTCAGTTGTAATACTTAATACTGATGTTAGAATCCAGAGATTAACTATACCATAGGTTTTTAACACTGTAAGATTGTCTTTTCAGCCACAGTATTTCTAACGTAAAGGAGGAGCCATGTGTATTTTCTGCCTTATATGTCTCTGTATGCTCTAGCATGTCTACCTAGGACAACTGTAGATTCGAAAATAAGTATTTGTTGAGTGAATGAATGACACAAATACTTGTATGTTTTATCTTTGTGACCTATCACCTGATTTCATCACAAATCTAATTTGCTCCTAATCTTAATCGTTTTGAAAGAACACAAATAATAAAAAATTATATAGCTATTACAACATTTATTAGCATACCTTTCATTCATCTCACTGCATTAAACTTGGCAGGTATTACTTTGCTTTTTTTTTTTTTTGGCGGAACCAGGGATTGAACCCAGGCCCTTGCGCTTTCCAAGCAAGCACTTATTCTACTGAGCCATCTCCCTGGCTTGGCAGGTATTACTTATTATCCATTCTGTGGATGAATAAGCTGAGGCATAGAAGAACCTAGTTATATTCTAGAAAATAGCCCAAAGCATTGGTTCTTCTTTTATGGATATTTCAAAGAGCTATGGGGGCTGGGGAGATGGCTCAGTAGAATAAGTGCTTGCCTGGCAAGTACAAGGGCCTGAGCTCAGTCCCTGGTTCTTGAAAAAAAAAAAAAAAAAAAGGAAAAGAAAGAAAAAAAAAAAAAAAATCAAAGAACTATGATGTTTTTAAAAAACATTAAAATTTAATTATCTAAAATACTGTAACACTCTCGATTTGATTTGAAACTGTCTCATTGCTATATGTTTATCAATAAAACTTTGAAAAGAAAAAAAAAATACTGTAACACTAATGGCCTGGCACACAGCTGTAATCTCAAAACTCTGAAAGCCTGAGGCAGGAGGATTGCGATTCAGCCTAGCCAGTGTAACAGTTTAGTGAGATCCTGTACCGCTGTTGACCTAAAGTATGTATTTGTGAGCTTGATGCTATTATAGTTAATGTCTGTTCTCTTAAGTTTCATGTTGAACTGAACTTTATTCCAGTCATTAGCTTCATATTCTTCCAACTTTTTTTGTTTGTTCTTATTAACCTATGTGTTTTTTAAAATATTATTAAATATGTCACTTCACATTTTTGCTGGAGTCAGGAATTTTTCTAGTTCATCAAAAACATCTTTTTCAAAATTGCCAGTGGCTGCTCTGAGCCCCACTGTACTCTCTATTCACCTGGTGTTGTGGTTTCCTTTCAGGTGTGGACAGCTCCTCTACTACGAGCAGTGCCTCCCCAGTGCCCAACAGCTATGATGCCCTGGAGGGGGGCAGCTACGCAGGTGATTATTGCCTTGTGCCTGTTGTTCATTTGAAGTTATTGACTGTTAGTTTCAAACGTAGACCTGTTCCACATATCAGCGGACTGTCTCTAGTTGACGTTTCCTGGCATTTCTTGGCCTTAATTTAATAGTGTTAATTGTCAGCCATAAATATTGGTTCTGGGACCTCTAAGGAAATTTATTACTTTTGTTGTTCTTTAGCTTTTTCATGTTTCTAAAAGTTTTATTAGTGAATAATTTTCTTAATGCCTTACATAAATTTCGTAGTGTGATCTTGTGCTTTGGTCCTTGAACTCCAAATTCTTTACAACCAGCCCCAGAGTGTGAACAGTGTGGCTCTTTACAACCCCGTGGTTCCTGTCTACTTTTGCCAGTGATTCTCTTGTCTCACATTACTGCTATGATAGTCACCTAACAGCCCCTTCCACCTCCTTCTCTAATGAGCTTAGCCTTCAGGACCAGCAGAGCTGTTGCGGCCTGCATGCACTTTGATAATAACGATCCATTGGGAAGGTGCAGCGGAGCAGTGTGTGTTTTTAAAGACAGGAGATCTGGACTCTATACAGCTCCAGCTTTCATATTTCTTACACTGATGGCTGTGGTGCTGTTTAGCAATCGTGTACCTAAGTTGCCTCACCATGGAGAGGCACAAGCAGGAGATCTATGTAGTGTGCACTTTTTTGAAGCACTTACCCTTCTAAGAGGGCGTAGGTTTCAGAAAACCTGAGTGCACCCTGTATAATCAGCACACAATGATGGCACAAGTCTAGGATGCAGCTTCCAATAGAACAATGTTTCTAGGGAGATAGCTCGGTGGTCTAAGCATCTGCCTGGCAAGTGCAAGGACCCAGGTTTTAATCCCTGGTACCATGTGCTATGCCGGCCCCCAATCTCAGTGCTGGGGAAGCTGAGACAGGAAGATCACTACAAGTCTGAGCTGTGTAAGGAGACCCTGTACCAAAAACATAAATAAAAGATTTTTTTTAAGTGATTTTTTTTTTAAAGAAACTCTTGAAAATACTTTTTATTAAATCACAGGCTTCTAGAACATTTATTTTTGTACTCTGTTAACAAAAAATACCATTTTATAAAATGATAGATAGATAGATGGATAATAGATAACAAAAAGGAAATGATTATTCATTGTTGACTTGCCTTTAAAAATAATATTAATAGCTGAGTGTGGTGGCACATAGCTATGATCCTAGCACTCAGGAGGCCGAGCAAAAGGATCTGTGTGAGTTCACGGCCAGCCTGGATCACATAGTAAGACCCTGTCTAAAAAAAGCCAAAATAAAAATAATGACAGTAATAATAGCCAGTATACCTGAATGTACATAAATTTTTAGTTTGTTTGGGTTTCAGTTTTGTTAGCTTTGTTTGAGACAGTCTCCTTATAATTCAGACTGGCCTTAAATTTATTGTGTAGACCAGGGTAACCTCATCTTCGAACAGTCCTCTTGCCTCAGCCTCCCAAATGTATGCTTTGATAACAGGTATGCACCATCATGCCTACCTTAGAGTTTCTTTTAGTTGATTTTGCATGTTTTTTCAATTTTTTAGTGTTTTTCTTTTCCAGTTTTAATAAAATATTTGCTGTAATCCCAACAGTCTGGGAAGCTGATGCAGAAATATTCATAGTTTAAGCCCAGCATGGAAAGCTGAGCAACCTAGCAAGACCCTGTTTCCTAATTAAAAAAAAAAAAAAAATAAGGGTTGAAGGGCATAGCTTAGTTGCAAAATCTTGGGTTCAATACTTAATACCATAAATTAGATAGTTAGTTAGTTAGTTAGTTAGTTAGATAGATAGATAGATAAGGCAGTTTAGTTTTTTAAAGAATTGCAATAATTACAGTTTATATTAATTAAGTAAACTTGCCTGGAGTCACTTCCCACCTTACTCTGGGAGCTGGACACACTCAGGACCTTGCAGACGTGTGACTCTAGGGGGCTGCGAAAGGCATGGTTCCTTCCACGGACCATGGACATAGGTGGCAGGGTTAAATGAAGGGCAAGTTAGAGAAGAGTTGATGACATTTTCTTAACTGTGTTGTTCTGTTTTGTTTCTTAGCTCCAGGCCTGCTGAGAGATTTTGGGGGGAAAAAAAAAAAAAAAACCTCCACTAGCTGCATGTGTATGTCTGCCTGTGTGTGTTATGTTAGGAGTACCAGCTAAAGAGTTGTTGATAAGTAATATACAAAATGTAGGACAGGCCAGTATGTAAAGTGAGATTAGCAAAGTGGGGTGACAGGTACCCAGAGCCCATGATCCTGGTGCCCACTGTGTTCAGACTTTGTCCTGAGAAGGAGAAAGGCAGAAGGCCTGGCTCAACTGAATGCAGTCTGCAGAGCCCACTTCAGTGGCTAATGCCCTGGTTTCCCACATACTAGACATGCACTCTTCATCGGCCAGCAGCCCTGCTCCAGACCCTGCGCCTGACCCGGACCCTGTGCCAGCACCCACCGCTCCTCAGTCCGTGAGGATGGCTAAACCTTTTGGCCATGGATACCCAACGCTTCAGCCCGGCTATCAGAATGCTGCCGCACCACTCACCTCAGGAGTGCAGCCCAGTGGCCCGGTGGCCTTCCAACAGTACCCACAGGTACGTCTGTACTTAGCCGTACTGAGATGCCACCCTTCCAAACGTTGCAGAGCTTTGCACTTCTAACAGATCTCTGGTAACATTTTTAAGAGTAATTACATCTAGGTGAGGATATTAGCTGTGGTTTTCTTCATTATATGTTTAGTTTTTAGTCTACAAGCCAAAATATGAAAAATTTTAAAAATCCTGTATTACTAACCTGGCATTTTCCACAGCAAAAGCCATGTCAGTGGCTCAAGCTTTGGGTCAGTCCCTCTGTTTCTCTTGAAGAATGCTATGAGGCCTAGGTAGTGCTCACCGAAGTCTCCATACATGCAGGTTGCTTTGTTTGGAGCTATCTCTTCAACCTCAGGCCAGTTTACTCGCATCCAGAGCACTGACACATCATACTTTTACATTTAGTGGCAGGAATTAGGGACATAATGGAAATGGCAATTTCTCTAATAAACTGTTCTTATAGTGACCTAATAAAAATTTCATCTAAGGTGAACTAAGAATAAAAGTTAGAGAAATAGAAAAATTATTGTTTCTGGAATTTAATCTTAGAACTAAGGTGCAAAAGGGAAGAGTAAAAAGAAAACTTACAAAGATATTGGAGAAATATGGTCGATCTGGTGTAGGCTTCCCTACCTCTTGATTTGTTAAATTTTCCTTGTGGCTCTACGGATCCATATGAAGCACTGTTCATTGTTGTATATTTGTGCTTTAGGCAAATTGCCCTTTTGGGACCATATTACAGAATTTCTACATCTTAATGTCAAGAAAACTAAATGTTAAGGAAAGGACTGTTAGAAGTGTTGTGCTAGGAGATAAAAGTTTGAAATAGTAAGTGGTGGTCCTTAATGATGCAGGCCAAGAGTCAGCAAACTGGCTTCTTAGGCAACTCAGACACATCCCTTGTTCAGCTGGGCTCATTCTTGTAGTACTGTCTATATCTGCTTTTGTGCTGTGGTGGTAGAGTTGTGCTTGAAGAGATCCTGTGCATTGTATTGTCTGAAACTCCTATGTACAGAAAGTTTGCTGGCTCCTGAAATAGGTGAATGGGAAGTATTTACCTGTTCACATTTTGTTTGGGAGGTTATTTATAAGTTAAGAGATTGTGTTTGGAATAATAAGTAAAATAAATACATGACAATTTTAAACTATAGGTTCATTCTGTTTTGTATCAGTCTTTCCTGTACTATAAATAGTATATTTATATACTATTAAGTATACAAAGATATTTGTACAAGGATCAGAAGAGTTTGGATACAGGAGACAATTTTTATAGTTAGGTTATTATACTCTCAGAGTATAGGTTGTTGGGGGGGGGGTAGCAGTGCTAGAGTACTTGCCTAGCATACACAAGGCCCTGAGTTCCGTCCCCAGTACTGCAAAAATAAATCAAAAATAGTTTATCTTTAAACATCATTATATAAGGCCCTCAAGATAGTTCAGTGGACTAAGTGCCTGCTTAGGGAAGCACAGGGACCTGGTTCAATGCGCGCCAGTCCCACCCCTCAGCGCGCTGAGCTGGCCAGAGACCAGGTGTGGTAGTGCATGCCTGTAATCCTGGCACTGGGAAGGCAGAAAACAGGAGGATCACTGCAAGTCCAAGCTGCATAGTGAGACCGTGTACCAAATACATTAAAATCGTTATATAATAAAATTGAAATGCCTTTAGGTATTGTACTTTGTGTACCATCTGGGAGGACTCTGCAATGTAAGGACTTTTTTTTTTTCATAAATAGTGGGAAATCCCAACAATTGACATTTGGAAAATGGAAAAGAAAAAAAACTTTTTAAGGGTTGAAAAGTATTCAAAAAGTTGATGCTTAAGAACAAGACTTAGGGGCTGGCAAGATGGCTCAGTGGTCTAAAGCACCTACTTGGAACAAGCTTAGCAAAGCACAGGGACCACGGTTCGATCCCCCAGCACCACATGCCAGCCAGCCCCGCCCCCTGGTGGGCTGAGCTGGCCACACACACACACACAATAAATAAATAAATGTTTAAAATTTAAAAAAAAAAAGAACAAGACTTAGAAAAATGTTTTCATTACATATAACAAAAAACCTGATAATACTATGTAGCTTTTTTTTTTTTTTTTTTTTTTTTTTTTTTTTTAGAAAAACGTAATGCATGATGTTACAGAAAATTCTGGGCCCGGGAAGATGGCTCAGTAGAATAAACGCTTCCCTGGCAAATGCAAGGGCCTGAGTTCAATCCCCAGTTCCACCAAGAAAAAAGAAAATGCAAGTAAGCAAAAGAAAATTAATATCAACCAGTATTCTTACCATCAAGATACAAAGAATAATATTTGAGGTTTTTCCTTCAAGATTCTTGCTATGCACTATTGGGGAAAAGCTAGTAAAGAAGCTGGTCATCTAAACAACTTGTTTAAACAAAAGAAATTGATTAATGGGGTGTTGTCCTGGTAATTTTTGATTAACAGTATAAGGTGAAATCTTTTTCTGTAATTGTGTCCTTTATCATTTTAGAAGCTGTTTGTCCTGTTATCAACCAATTTACCATTTGTTGGTTGTAACTGAAGGTGGAAATCAGCTTCCTTTCATGTACAGACACACACACAGACCTTTGCTCATTTACCTCATGTCCTTAGAGGAAATTTTTGTAAGCACGTTACTGAATCAGAGCATCCATGCTGATAGGACTAGAATTTGTGCCTGCTTCTTCAGTGGCCATCCATTGAGTTTCTACTACGTGTCCTCACAGGTCTAGGCACTGAGGGTAAATAAAGGAGGCTAAGTTTACATTTTACACTTATAACTTATTCTGTTTTTATGTACCTTTATTGTTATTTACAACTTTTAAAGATCTTGTCAACTTTAAGGGTAGAAAAATATTCCATTAATGGGATATGTGCTTCAGTGATGTCACTTTTTCATTTTTCATCCATCTAAAAATTTATTTTATTCATAATATAAATGAGAGGCTGCTTCAACAAAGCAGTCAGCCTCAGGTTGCTGTGGTTCGATCCCCACAACTCAAGCCAGCCAAACCTGCCCTGAAGGCATTCGGAGAAAAAAAAAAAAAAAATCCATGATATAAATGAGAAATCTTGTTCCCAGTCAAAAGAATTCTTAGCCTTTATTACATAATCTATCTTCTCTTCTTGATTGAACATCCCAGCTGTTTTATATCCCTTCTTACAAACTTGAGTCTCTGAGAATTATTATCCAGTTCATTCCTCAACTTCACTAGCTTCAATCACTGTTAACATTTTGCTCTATTTATTTCATCTCTTTTCCAACTTCATTTAGTTTTTTTGTTTTTTTTTTTTTTAAAGTGGGATAAAGAGCTTTATTAGGCAAAAATGTTAAAAGTACACACTCACAAAAAGAATGTGGGCCCTCAAGAAGAGGCAGCCTCAGTTTGGAGCGCGGACTGTTTGCGTATTTGACCAACACAAATCTGGAACTTGTGAATCTATATGAAATGCCAGCTGCTTCAACTTGAGGTGGGAACACAAAAAGAAATGGTTTACTTCACAAGTGCAAGGAATGAACCCCACCATGATCTAAGATGTTTCAGAAAACTTTCTTTGAACTGAACCTGTCCCTACGTTCCTTTTCTTGATCCACATTTTGAAGCTAATCAGGTTGAAGGAGCATTTCTTTCCTAACAGTACCACTGTCATAGCCAGTAAAATTAATAATTGCTCAGTAGCATTTGAAATTTGATTCCTGTTCACATTTTCCTATTTTATTTTTTTAAGAGTATTTATTTATTTAGTGGCCAGCTCTGCCTGCTGTGGAGGCAGGACTAGCAGGGTGTGTGGTACCAGGGATTAGATTGGTCCCTGCCACTTGCCTAAGCTTACCTAAGCAGGCGCTTTAGACCACTGAGCTATCTCACAGACCCCACATCTCCCTATTTTAGAAATGCCTTATACATGGTCTCTACAAATCAGGATTCAAATAATATCTTACTAATCACTGTATATTTGCTTATATGTTGTTGTTCTTGTTTTAAGTTAAAATGAACCCTCACCTTTTCTTTTCATATCTTTGATCTGGTAGAAGTGTGTAGCTTGTGCCATGTTTTGAACCTGCCTCGTTGATCACCTGTGGTGCCATTTAACTTTTTCCTTTTTTCTACTTTCTATTGGGTAGAAATGAAGTCTTATTGGCTTGATTATATTTGAGTTTATGACTGATACATTAATATTATAAAAATTCGAACTTGTCCTCAAAAATCAAAGAATGAAAATCAAAGAATGCAACAGGAGCAAGTTAGTAGAGTGTTTATTGAAAAATACATGATGGTGGATTACCACCCTCATGAAGGGATTCCACAAGTGGAAATGCTCATTTTAGTCCCTTTTTTTTTTTTTTTTTTTTTTGAGATGGGTTTTGCTGTGCAGTTCAGGCTGCTCTTGAACTCACTTTGTAGCCCAGGTTTACCTCAAACTCACAGTGATCCTCCTGCCTCAGCCTCCTGAGTGCTGGGATTATAGACTATATTGATCTTGTATACATAAACAGAGGGCAGTGAAAAGGGCATCTTTCAAAAGAAGAGTGAGGGAAACCAGTTATTTTGCATTTCTCATGTTTCTGGAAGTCTAATCCAGAGGTGAGGAAGAACTGTCAAATTTAGTATACTCTGCATACGAATCTTCTTCTGGAAAAATGTGGAAGGGTCTTGATCTATACATATATATTCCTGTGATGACTACCCACATATAAGCTAATGAACATGTCTATTGAACTGTTACATCTTCATTTCCTTAGGTCAGAATAAGGCATATTCTAGTGATGCATACCTCTTGATCATTCTTACTTGCAGTAGTGCTAGGATTAGCTGATCATAAAGCTCAGTGTTTTGTACTTCATGATGGCATATGTATACAAACACAAGGAATATTACAAAAAATATTAACATTTAAGTTAATAATCTTACATTTGTATTAATAATGATGCTGTTGTTTTGAAAGTACTTAAGTATGTCATAGGATGAAGTAAGTGTGGCATAGCTGATGTCATCATCTGTAAGGTCTGAATCATGGATTCGAACCAAGTGGGGGGGCTGGGGAGATAGCTTGGGGGGGGGACAAGCCAACCAGGGACTAAAAATACGGCATCTGTACTGAATACCTACAGACATTTTTCATGCTATTATTTCCTGATAATGAAATAATATAATAACTACATGCATTTCCATTGTGTTATGTATTTGACATGATCTAGGGATGAATTAAAGTATCTGACAGGATGTGTGTAGATTATGTACAAATAATACATGTGGTATATAAGTGGTTTGAGCATCTGCAGTTTGATATCCTTGGGGCATCCGAATACTGATCCCTACTCCACTGCCATGGATGCCAGTCAAGGGACAACCAACATTGTTGGTTGGAATCAAGATTTTCAGCAAAAGGATAGAAATAACTGATATAAAAATTAGAGAACTTGGGGGCCTGCCCCTTAGCTCAGTTCTTTAGGTGGCTGCTTCAACCAAGCAGTCAGGCTCAGGTTGCTGTGGTTCGATCCCCACAACTCAAGCCAGCCAAACCTGCCCTGAAGGCATTCGGAGAAAAAAAAAAAGAGAACTTGATCAAAGTAAAAGCATTATCTTAAATTCGAACTTGAAGTATTGATATGAACTCACTTTTTCCTGCTATTTAAAAATGTGTGTTTTCCATCTCTATTGCAAAAGCCTGAAATAGTAACAGCACACAGGGATGCGAGCCAATCACTTAAGATTCTGATCCCAGAAGCAGTAAGGATCCCCTTGTGCACCAGTGAATGGCTCCTTCTCGGTGTGGGGAAGAAGAGTACAGTATGTTACACCAGAAGGCAAGGATCTCACAAAGGATAACAAAGTATAGTTCCTGCTAGCTCACTGCAGTGGAGCCTGTGGATGTAGCCACTGGTCAAGCCCTTACCCAGCGTGCACAAGGCCGTGCTTCAGTCCCCAGCACTGTAGGAGAAAGCAGCAATAGCAGTGAAAACAATAATAATAGGCAGTGGCACCAGATTGAAAGAATTTACACTGGCCAAGGGTTGAGTAATGTGGATGTCAAATGAACAGTGATAGCAATTAAATCAGCTTGAGTTAGCAAAAATCCATGAATTCATAGGCTACTAACAATACAGGGAGCAGAAAATACAGACAGAACAAAAACTCATTGAACATCATTGTGAATTTCTGCAGCATCAGCTTGTTAACTCTGAAAGTTGATGATTGATAAAACTTGAAAACAAGTACTCAGTGTCTTTTAGCATAAACTATTCAAGGAAACCACATTCCTGATATTGAACAGCATGGTTGCTGAAATTTTGTTGAGAAGTCTAAACTTGTTAATAAGATTTTAAGTTTCCTTAGTATTTGTGCTTTGAGTTTTTCATGTATGCTTTAAATCAATGGCACTATTAAATCATTGTACTATTGCTGAGATAGCTGTACATTTTATTACTTTCTTGCATGTTCCTGGTTGCAGTTCCCCATCTAGCATACACAGATTGATGCATGTTTGTCTTGTGCTGGTCTAACTTGCTTTGTTTTGTGCTCTTAGCAGTATCCTGGTGTGAACCAGCTGTCTTCCAGTCTGGGAGGATTGAGTCTTCAGAGCTCCCCACAACCAGAAAGCCTGAGGCCTGTGAACCTCACACAGGAGAAGGATGTTTTACCCACGACTCCTGTTTGGGCTCCTGTACCTAACTTGAACATGGACCTCAAAAAGTTAAACTGCAGCCCAGAGTAGGTATTTGTGTATTTCATAATCTTCCAAGTATTGTACTTTGGTGAAAGCACTATATACTGATGACTTTCAAAGATGGTAAAAGTAGTATGGTATCATTTCCTTGATGGGAAGTTTTGTTCATTGACTTCTACTTTGTGTAGAAGTCAATGGAAAATTCAGTTTCAGTTACCTGTTTCTCTTCCCACCCACCTTTGCCTCAGTCCTGTCCCATTCTCCTGTCACAGTGGTAATTAGGAGTCTTAAGTGTAAGAGTCTGAGAAATCTGACCCCCAAAAGCAGCTGTGAGACTCCCAGTAGCTCGCTCATCCGCAAAGTCTCAATACAGTGCTGTTAGCTCTAATACACAAATGCATTTGAGTGTCCTTTACTCCACAGGATGGGCACCTTCATTGTTTCCGACCTTCATATTTCTGGGTTTTGGAATATTTGCGTAGTCTTTTCTGGCTGGGCATTCCTAAACTGAAATGTTCCAAAATGTGGAACATTGTGTCTACCCAGAAAATTTTGGATTTTGGAGCATTTCAGATTTCATATTTTTGGATTAGGGGTTGCTTGAACCTATAATAGTAAGGCCTACATACAAGATAGTAAGGGAGGATACAGTGTGCCCCCAAACTAGTAAGCCTCTGATAGTGTCAGCATTACTATGAAGAGAAAGAAATCAGAGTAGTGAGTGTAGTTGGAGGGCGACTGCAGGGTGGAGGGTGGAGGGTGGCTGAAGGTCGATACAAGTTTCCCCGTAGTTGACATTTGCATGGACTGACTGGAATGAGGAGCACAGGGCTCTGGGCCCACCCCAGAGTGTCCCACAGGACCTGGCCAGGGGCCAGGCACAAAGCAGGACAGCACAGTCTGGAGGGCCGGAGGGTCCTACATAGCATCAGCCACTCTTGCACAGTGCCTCTCCTGTCCCAGGCTTCTGCTGTTGCTGCTTCCATGACTGCTGGCTCCATTATGGGTTGTTCTTACACAGCCTTCCTAAGATGAAAATGCTCATCAGGGGAAGAAACTGCTGGAGTGGCACAAGTGCTCTATCATCTCAAGGGGGGAGGCAGGCGAGGTACACAGCCCACTGGGAGAAGTCAGAAAAACTGAGAGGAAGGAGGCACCCTCTGGTGGTGGGAGAGGGGAGAAGGGCCCGGTGAAGCCATAGCTGAGGAGTCGGCAGGTAGACAGGGCAGGAAAGCAGAAAGACCCTTAAAGATGGAGAAGTCTGCCTTGGGTGGGGATGTAACCCAGTGGTGAGTGCTTTGGATCCCTGGACCATCAAAAACATGAGTGAGGGTGGGAGGGCAGTATGATCTGTGCTCATGTTTTGTCTTTATCCGATATGTCCTACAGGTGCTCTTAGTAGTCATTTTTTTCCCACATGTTGTCCTGTCCACCATGAAAAGTTTCATTCTTTAATTTAGGTCTTTAGATACATGCTACTTATGTTTGCTTAAAGTAACCAGGGCCTCCCTGCTCCTAGTTACAGCATGCCCAGATGACTCACATTACCCCATAAACACTGAACTGTCCTGTCTGCTGCAGTATGTTTTTTTGGTTTTTGTGTGTTTGTGTGTGTGTGTTCGGCTGGCTTAGCCTGCCATGGGGGCGGGGCTGGTGGTCCCTGTGCTTGCCTAAGCAGGTGCAGTTTAGACCACTGAGCTGTCTTGCCAGTCTCCTGCAGTTTTTCTGACAGCTAGCACACTCAGCATTGCTTGCTTCTTGCAGTTCCTTCCGGTGTACCCTGACAAATATCCCACAGACACAGGCGTTGCTGAATAAAGCCAAACTTCCTTTGGGACTGCTGTTACATCCCTTCAGAGACCTGACGGTAAGGTAGACATTTTAAAATACTGTGGGTGCTGAAGTGTGCTGGTGTTCAAAGATTGTAGATCTTACATTTTCTTAGAATTTTCATCTTTGATTTGGAGTAAAAAGTAATCATTTCTGACTCAGTGAATGGTTTCTGAGCAGCTGCTTTGTGGCAGTCTACACAGTAAGCACTGTTAGCGCAGAGGTAACTATGGAAATTTGGGAAAGTCTGAGTGCCATCAGGAAAGAAATTGGAGCCCGCATAGAAGATGGGTTAACTTTAACAGGAGACCTTCATGGAACAGTGCTGTCCCGCTGGGGAGGAGAGCTGTGAGGTGGTTCCCACTGAGCAGATGGCCTTACAGTGACCAGGAAAGGCTAGGCACTCCAGTCTGTTAAGTAAAACATTGTCAGTCTGCTTGGCTTGAGACCAATGGACTAGACTCTTATACCTCTTCTGGTGTCACTTGCAGATCTGCTATATTTACACTAATTTTAAAAAAAAAAGGGACTGGGGAGATGGCTCAGTGGAATAAGTGCTTCCCTGGCAAGCACAAGGGCCTGACTTCAATCCCCAGTTCTGCCAAAAGAAACCCAAAACAAACAAACAAAAAAAATATAAAAGTAAAAAATAACAAATTTTTAAAGCTAAGAAAAAAATTGAAGCTAGAAACAGTCTGTTGCCGTTTCTTAGGTCATATTTCTGCCTCACATTCACTCAGCCTTTTTTGTATTTTCTAAGTGGAATAGAATAGAATAGCCTTTCCCAGGGTGAGCTTGTTTAAGTCACACTGGGCTTGCTTCTGGCCTCAGCCCCCATGGGGACACTGTCACCACATACAACAGTCAGTAGAAGCAGAGGCAGTGGGTACCTGCCTTCCTGTGTGTGTGTCACTGTGATGGAATTCAGTGATCTCCACCACAGAGTTACATCCATATTCCTAGTCCTTAGTTATTGAGCCAGTCTTGCTAAATTGTCTGGCTGGAACTTGGGATCACCGTGCCTCAGCCTCCGTTGTTGCTGGGATTGCAGGCATGCTCCAACTCGCCTCACTGTACAGGTGTTCTTGCCCAGGCTATGCTTCTTTCTCGCTGTTACCTTCTGGAGTCTAGCTGATGAGCTCCTCCTTATACATGTGATTTTCTTGGCCAGCCAGGCTCCCCTGTCAGCTAAACTTTTGCTACATTTGGTATGACTTTGCTTTAGGATTAGCGTACAGTTTGTGACAAAAAAGTGAGAAAACTTGATAAGAGCCCCGTATATCACCAGATTTCATTACTGTGCTCTGTACAAATGCACATGACTCAGTGATGCTCTGTGTTCTTCTGTATGTGGAGCAGAGGACCATGAGTTCTGTTTTGCACATGGCACTGTAACAACATCTCTTTTATCCTTTGCAGCAGTTACCAGTGATAACGTCAAATACCATTGTGCGGTGCCGATCTTGTCGAACGTATATCAACCCTTTTGTGTCCTTCATTGATCAGCGTAGATGGAAGTGCAACCTGTGCTACAGAGTTAATGATGGTAATCTCCCAGTTCTTTTTTTTTTTTTCTGTACAGGGTCTACAGGGTCTCACTATATAGACTCATAGTGATTCTCCTGTTTTCATCCTCCCAAGTGCTGGGATTACAGGTGCATGCCACCATGCCCAGTCTCCATTGCCATCTCCGCGCCCCCCCCCCCCCAAGGGGGCCAGCACAGCAGGCCAGGAATTGAACCCCAGCTGCCGCGCACTGCCTAAGCAGGCGCTTTTGTCCACTGAGCCATCAGGCTGGCTCCATCTCCCAATTCTTAAAATCAGTGTTTGAATATACTTTTCAGCATTTTCTGACACTCTTACTGCTTTCCTCATTGCTGTAAGAATACTATAGGAACAGATCCTTTGGATCTGTTTTTTAAGAAATACCTGAAGGGTTTTATTTTTGTCATAAGGGTCCCCAGAGCTTATGCTGAACCCCGGGTCTTGATGATGAAGGCATTTAATTCTGGTCTTGTTACTACAGTTGCACTCAATTCCTCCTCTCTTCCAGTTCCTGAAGAGTTTATGTATAACCCCCTTACACGATCTTACGGAGAACCTCACAAACGACCCGAAGTGCAGAATTCAACTGTAGAGTTCATCGCATCCTCAGATTACATGGTAACAACTGATGTTCATCATTCCTGGGATACATTTGTGTGGGCCATTTTCAAGTTTCTTGTCCAAATTGGGAACTTCTCATAGTATTAATTTTTAAAATAAACTAATAGTGAAAGTTGGCACTTAACAAATATGGTAGTTGATCTAGAAAAATGTAGTATATCACTAAGAAGTGTTAGTACTGTAATGTTTTTGTGATGAGCATTGGCAACTAGTGTTTATTCCCACTTGGATTTGACTACCTGCCTAGAATGGAGAAACGCTCTTTTATCATTTAATATTAAAGGAACTTCAAACAGAAAAATGGATATTTTTGCCCCAAACTGTAGTTTTCAAGGTCTTAAAGGTATCAATTTTTCTGGTTCACCCAGTACAGACATAAGGATACATGGATGTTAACTAATCTTTCTCTTTCTGGCATTCATAAAATTCTGCCTGTTATTTAATTAAATGGGAATGTCAAACTTCCACTTACAAAAGTGTTTTTTTACCTAAGTCATGCTTGTTATCAGTCATATCTTCCCATTTTTAATGACTGCTTTTCTTCCATATCCTTATTTCTAATCTTCCTATCTGCAAATATTTAAATGGCTGCCAGTAAGTAGGGAGAACAGGAACAGCTAATGTATAGTGAATTTCTGGTGGTTGGTCCATTTTTATTTTTATTTCGATCTTTGTGTCTAATTTAGCTTTCTATAACCTATTTTCACAGTTTGTTCCCTGCTAATTATAGTAAACTTTCTCTTGATTACTCTTGCTCTCAGCTGATTTTTATAACTTATTTTGTTCTTATTTCTGCTTAAGATTCTTAATAAGCCTAATTCTTCTTTAGGAGATATCTTAGCCAACATTCCTTAACTAGCCTACTTAACCATTATAACTACCTTATCATACTTAATCCACAAGTTTAAGTGGATTAAGAACAAAGAACAATGTTTTGTTCAACATTATAAGAACAAAATTAAAGGTATGTCATTTTCGTTAGTAGATGAGGACTTACAGACAGTAGTTCTGTTTTATGTTCAATGTGGTATACTCTGCAGTGTTTTGTGGTAATGTGAAAGGAGCAACCTGTATCTGCTACTAAACATTACTTTTGCTCCTTTCAGCTCCGTCCTCCTCAGCCCGCAGTTTACCTGTTTGTTTTAGATGTGTCGCATAATGCTGTGGAAGCTGGATATTTGACGGTTTTGTGCCAGTCGCTGTTAGAAAACTTAGACAAGTAAGACTAGTTTTTACTGATTTTTATGTGTCTGTATATAAATATACACAGATCAGAAGTGTCAGTACTGGGCCAGGGAGATGACTTAGTGAAATAAACATTTCCCCGGCAAGCGCAAGGGCCTGAGTTCAATCCCTGGTTTCACCAAAAAAAAAAAAAGCAAATGTCAGCACTGTTCTGGGTTACCTTTTGTTAAGGTTAGGCGTGTTTATCTGTAAACTAGGAGAGTACTTCCTGACTACCCTAGAATAAGAATTCCCCACTTAGGATCTGAATCATAAATCACCCAAGAGTTAGTATTTCAAGAATCTGATCTTTCCTCCCTGCCCTGAATTTACCTGTGACCCATGGGCCTGAACACCTATGCCTGAGAGGCTCCCCTGTTGGGGGATCAGGAATCTGGGAGGCTGCAGACTGTGTTGAGTAGACAAGCCAGGCACTGACGGGGACATGCAGCGCCCCACACCCCTGTGGTGTTGTGCAGCGGAAAGCACAGCCATGGCAGGCAGACGGAGGGCTGGGAGGCGCTGCTCACTAGATGCAGCACTGAGCTCCAGCCAGTGCAGGGCACTGGCTGCCCACAGTGCAGGGCAACGGCTGTTAACCAGGGCTCATGGCCACACATGCGTGCCAGCTGAATTCAAGCTATTCTAATCACAAAAATGGTAACTTCTAATGGGATACGTAAGTTAATAGCTAGTTTTAGTCGTTCCACAATGGACATTTATTTCTAAACATCCTGTTGTGCCCAATAGACACACATGGTTTTACCTATCCATTCAAACAAGGTAAAATCAAAAATGTCAAACTAATCTGAGAAGAAATGTGGCCATAAGATAGTCCAAGCAAGGAAGTTCCTCCTATGACAGTCTTGATTGCCCTGGGGAAGGATGAGTGGCTGGGCCACTGAGTGCTGATCTTCAGAAGCAGGCTGAGCCCCTCACTTAGGTGCTGAGCAGCAACCTAGGCCATGCAATGAATGAGCCCAGGATGGGTGCTTCCTTCTTTGCTCTTAATTCCTGGCTGTGTCTCACTGGGGAGCCTCTCAACTAGCATTTATATGATCACCAGATCTGTGGAAACTACATGGTTTTATTCTGCTTCTGTTTTTTTCTCCAGTATCCACAAGAGACAGGACTCAAGGTTATGGGTGAGAGTGGGTCACTTCTGCAGTGGATCTTGACATGGGCAGGGTATGGGATGTAGTCACACAAGTGCCCTAGGCTTCCCCCTCTTGCATTTGAACCCAAGAACCCTTGCTCTGCTAGCTGCTCCCAGTCACTGTAGCCTGTTTAGCACTGATCCTCACCTGTAAATGTAACTCCAGCTACTAAGGTAGTCGGGATTCTAAAAATGCAGAGGTGTACAAGGTTGGTATTTTGTGCTCTTTAGTAATTTAATTGTTACATTTGTACCTTGGTTTAAGTATTTGCCCTATTCACTCACAAGTGCTTACCCACTCTGGGAGTAGCTTCACAGTGGGTAGCAGTGGAGAGTGCTCTGCAGAGAACATCAAGTTCTGACCCCCGGCCAGAGGTGCAACAGTTCCTGACTGTGAAGTGGCTAGAGCTCCTATCTCAGCTTCCTGTTATAGCAGCCCACTCTCTTTCCTGCCCACACAGGGAGAAGTCTCCGTAGCACCCCTTGGGAGCCTCCCTAATGTAGTGCTGAGTGACAAACTGCAAATTAAGTATAGTGTAAAACTATTAGAAAATAATTGCATTTGATTATGACAAAAAATAAAGCATTAAGAAAATAAAAAACAAAGTAAAGGTGATAGGGCTCGTAGCAATGTAAAAGCTGATTTTGTGGTAGTTTCTGGAGACATCTTTGAGAAAGAGGACTTTAGTGCTGGAGCAATTGCAGTTCAACTGATATATTGTAATCTGAGGATGGGTCACAGGCCTCCACTCCCGGGTGAGTGGAGCTTCGATGCTCTGGGACTAGATGCTCCCAACATCAGTCTGCCAAGCAGCTGAGCATGTGGTACTGCTTCCTGAGCTCTAGTCCTCATCCTGCAAACATGTTCTCACCCTGGCACATGCTGAAAATGTTTCAGATGCATTACAGAAAGAATGAACTACGCAACGAGCCTACATGGCCGTGGGCTGCACTGAAATACACTTAGATGAGGCACCCGCATTAAAAAGGGAAGTAGGATGGGCACTGCAATGGTTACTTGCTTTGATAAACTGGGCCCTGTCTTTAAAACATTTCTGAAAGAATTTTTAAAAGATTGATAGATCAATTAAAACATGTTTTAAATTTTGCACATTAAAATTCATTGGCCTTTATAGGCCTTTCTTTTTTTTTTTTTTTTTTTTTTTACACTGGATTAAGGACAATTTATTGTTTTTATGTACAGAAAACTCAAAGTACGCTTAGCCCAGTTTAGTGGCAAGCTCTTTAGCCTTCGCTTTCTCCAGCTTGGCAATACGAGCCACAGATTTTGGACCCAGAACGTTGCCTCCCCAGTGACGGCGGATCTCATCGTATCTGTCATTGTAGTTGGTCCTGATGGCCTCCACCAGCTTAGCCAGAGCGCCCTTGTCCTCCGAGTTGACTTGTGTGAAGGCGACAGTGGCACAGGTCTTCCTGTGGACCAGACACCCCAGCCTGGCCTTCCCCTTGATGATGCAGTAAGGGACCCCCATCTTGCGACACAGGGCAGGCAGGAACACGACCAGCTCGATGGGGTCCACGTCATGTGCAATCACCACGAGCTGAGCCTTCTTGTTCTCTACCAGAGTGGTGACGGTGTTGACACCTGCTCTGAGGACCGGTGGCCTCTTAGTGGGGACATCCCCTTTGCCAGCAGCTTTCTTCTCTGCCCGGGCCAACAGCCTCTGCTTCTTCTCTTGCTTGGTCTCTGGTCTGTACTTGTGGGCGAGCTTAAGCAGCTGGGTAGCTGTTTGGCGGTCCAAGGCCTGGGTGAACTGGTTAATCGCAGGGGGCACCTTCAGCCGTTTGTACAGGATGGCCCTCTGTCGCTGCAGCCGGATGTAGCGGGGCCATTTGACAAAGCGGGTGAGGTCTCTCTTGGGCTGGATGTCCTGTCCAATGCCAAAATTCTTTGGCCTCTTCTCGAACAGGGGATTTACCACCTTCTTGGCCTCCTGCTTCTTCACGACAGCAGGGGCCGGGGCCACCTTGCCCTTGGCCTTCTTCCCTTTCGGCATCTCGGCCGGCTGACAGAAAAAGCTATAGGCCTTTCTTGTAACGTGTTCACTTAGCAGTCTGTGCTTTAAAAAGCTATATTATTGTAATGTCAGACCTGAAAATCTAGGTTTTTCCTTAAAAGAATTATGTTTCAAGGGAAAATTAGGAAGAAATCTTCTACTTTTTAAAGTATTGCACTTCTACTTTTGGTTTATTCTTATGTGAATACAGATATAGTTCAGTTTATGAAGTATGAAGTCTAAACACAAGTGTAAGGGCCTGAGTTCAATCCCCAGTTCCGCTAAAAAAAAAAAAAAAAAAAAAGAATTAGCTTTTTGGTTCATTATTTTATGATATCAAACATTACTAAGCATTTGAAATTTAAAATTGTTTTTGTCTTTAGGCTTCCTGGAGATTCACGAACAAGAATAGGATTCATGACCTTTGACAGCACTATTCATTTCTACAGTTTACAGGAAGGATTATCACAGCCTCAGATGTTGATTGTGTCTGACATAGATGGTAAGCATCTTACGAAATAAAACATCCCTCTGACAACAAACATTAGAGAGGATGCTGCAGAATTTTACAGTAGAGACTGTCGTGACCTGTGAGAATAGTATGGTGCACTTTGGTGTTTGTTTTTAAATGATTCTTTACAAATACTTGGTTCTTAGTTTTTTACACCTGTGTATGTAGTATACACATGTTTGTATAATATATACAGAATGTATATTTAATAAGGTGATGTTACAGTACACATTATATGTGTAACTTGATGAAAACTGTAATTTTCTAATTTGTTATATTTTAACTTTGTTGACTAAAATATGTTTTCCCTGTAGATGTTTTTCTACCTACACCAGATGGTTTACTTGTGAATCTATATGAAAGCAAAGAGGTGAGATTGATTTATTTTCTTGAAGTATCAAAGTATTTCCATGCTTCAACTAGAAGCCAACATTCATCCCCTTGCGGTATTGGTGCCTGACGGTAGACAGCACAGGTAGCATGTCTGTTTTCTCCTTAGTTGGCACTCTCCAGAGGTGCAGTGACATGCACTATATTCTGAGGGTTTTTTGTTTTGTTTCAGTTTTTCTGTATTTTAGAGAAAGGTCTATAGGGTTTTCAGGGTCTCACTACTAGATTGGACTCGTAGTGATCTGCCTGTCTATAGCCTCCTAAGAGCTGGGATTACAGGCACACGCCACCAGGCCCAGTCTCTATCGTTGTTTCAGTGTGCCCAGGGACAGGGCTGGCATGGCAGGCCTGGGGATCAAACCCCCAGCCCCTGAGCCTATCTGAGGTGTTTTAAACAAGAATATTGCCTTGCCTTCTCAGTAATTGAGTGTTTTATCTTTGTTTTCCCAGCTTATAAAAGTCTTATTGAATGCATTACCAAATATGTTCACCAACACAAGAGAAACACACAGTGCCCTTGGTCCGGCGCTTCAGGCTGCCTTTAAATTAATGTCTCCAACAGGTGGCCGTGTGTCTGTATTTCAGACACAGTTACCTTCCTTGGGTGCAGGGCTTCTGCAGTCCCGAGAAGATCCCAATCAAAGATCCAGCACAAAGGTACTGTATGTTCAGCATCTCTTTCCTGTCCACTTAATGCTGGTGATTCCTACCTCCACTGACAGTAACTCTTCATTATGCTACTGTGTCACTTCATTAATAATTTTAAAATCACAAAGAGTGTTTAACTGAACCTAACCTTTTTATATGTGTTACAGTGTTCTTTTCATTGCTTTGCAAGCCATAAAAATGTAGAAATTAGCCATTTCGTTTTACAAATGAGGAAACAGATTAAAGTGTCTTGTGAAAGGTTACATACTTTTAAATACTGAAGATGTGGCTTAATATTCTAATTCTGATTTTCCGTTGTTTTACAGTGAAAAACTGAGTTACGGTAATTTAACATGATCACTAAAAAAAAAAAAACTATAAAGACGTATGACCTATCATTGTGTGAAATGTGGAAAGTAGAGAAGAAAAATAATTCAACAATAATTTTAACTTGCAACTTATTGGCACTTAGCTAAAGACACAAATAAGCATAATTAGGCTTCATCCATGCAAATACATTTTTTAAGTGGTATTGATAGGTTTCTCAGATCCCTTAACTCTTAAAAAAATCCATATATCAGAGTAAAGATGAAATTACTTTATTCAACTGAATTATGCAATCACTAGGCAGCAATATCATTCAGCTTCTCTTCACAACTTAAGTTTGCAGACCAAAAATTAAAGAAAAAAGAAGGGCTGCAAGGACAGCCAACATTTTGGTCCTAGCCTTTCAAGGTCCGTGAGGACTCAGGACATAGAAGAACCTATACTGTAACATCCTGCAACTCAGTTGTGTCCCAAATTTTCTGATCAAGGAGATTATGGGGCCACATAAGGAAAGTGATGTAGAGTGTGCCTAAGGAAAGTCACTGGGAGAGAAAACATTCTCTCAGGCTTTCAGAAAGATCAAATTTGTCAGGCAATGGCCATGACTCATCCACATGGCTGACACTGACAAAGGATCTACAAACTGTGGTACAGGGTTTCAGGATAAATCCTGAGAGGATTTGACTGACCTTGTCAGACGCAAAAGTTACATTTCTTGTTATATAGGTCTTTATCTTTGTCTTAACCATTCAGCAGAAAAGTATAATAATGAGGTATGAAAAGTAAAGCCATATTAATATGCTGAGCTGTAAAGGGCTCAAGTCAACAACTTCTGACATTGTCAGTCATGCAGATAACCCACTACTATTATAGTCTACTGGACTGTGTTGGATTATTTTGCTGAATTCACACACCTACTATATTTATTTATTTATTTTTTTTAAAGATTTATTTATTTATTTTTATTTTTTTTTAAATTTTTATTTATTTATTTGAGAGAGAGAGAGAGAGAGAGAGAGAGAGAGAGAGAGAGAGAGGGGCCAGCTCAGCCCACCAGGGGGCGTTCTGGCTGGCATGTGGTGCTGGGGGATTGAACCGCGGTCCCTGATGCTTTTGCTAAGCTTGTTCTAAGTAGGTGCTTTAGACCACTGAGCCATCTCTCCAGCCCACACCTACTATATTTAAATGGCAGTGGAATACCCATCTCTGACAAAACTAAACAAAAAAGGATACAAATGAAGGACCATTTTGTATCTGTATATACGAAATAGGATAGTGTTTAGACAGGATATCATGTCTGTATCTTGTACTATGAATAACCACTAGAAAACAATAATATGCAATGTATTAATTGTTGAAACTGTCCTACTAATTGTTTTTGAAACTGCCTCATTGCTGTTTTTTCTCAATAAAATTAATATAAAACAAAATAAACCTTCTTAACCCAAATGAATTTCTGATGCTTTTACTCTGGAGCCAAATTTATTGGATCTGTAGCCTTAACATTTTGCCACACTATAATATTGTGATTATGTAATCTTGGCCATTTTATTTCTTTAGACGAGATTGGGTACATTCAGGGCAGTATGGCCTTAGACTTCTTCAGTTTTTGCTTTGGTTTCCTCATCTGTAAAAGGCAGATAATAAAAACCTCTTGAGATAATGTGTTAATGTGATAATCAAAGTGTTTGATATATGCAGAACATCTAAAGTGGTGCTGAGCCATAAGTGCTTTTTACACTGCTTTAGGAAATCTATGCCAAATACCTCAGTGCTTTTAAAACCCCTTACCTTGGTAATGGAGAAGAGACTGTCCTCTTCCTTATTATAAGAAAAGAGATGGACAGTTGTGGATAATTAAAGGCTTTCAGCCCTTACTTAGTGATCTGTTGGCTTAGGTGGTGCAGCATCTTGGTCCTGCAACTGACTTTTATAAGAAACTTGCTTTGGATTGCTCGGGACAGCAGACAGCAGTGGACCTGTTCCTTTTAAGCTCACAATATTCTGACTTAGCTTCTCTAGGTAAGTTTTTCTGTTGACGTGAACATTTCCCACGTGTAATTAAATCTAAATTTTTCAGTCGGCATGCTCAGTACCTTGGAGAGAATGATGTATGAATTGTGTACATAATGTCTATGAAGATTACCAATGAACTCTATAAAATGCCAATAGCATTTTGTTTATATAGTGGTTCCCTGGAGGGCCGGCCTGATAGCTCAGTGGACTAAAGTGTCTGCTTATGCAGAGCACAACAGCCAGGGTCTGATCCCCAGCATGCCGTGCCGGCCCCACCCCTGGGGCACACTGAGAAGGCCATTGAGACTGGGCATGGTGGCGTGTGCCTGTGATCCCAGCGCTTGAGAGGCTGAAAACAGGAGAATCACTGCAAGTCCGATATATGTAGTGAGACCTAGTAGACCCTGTACTAAATAATAGTAATAGTAATGGCTCCCTGAGTGTTTTGCTCAAGAATAAACATATATAAAAATTTTTGTTTTCTGATGTAGTGTTACTTGTATTTTGACAACTTTAGCTTTTTCCTTATAACTCAGATTTCTTCACAACATAGAATGTGTATAATTGTATGAGTAGAATATAGTTGTTCTATAGCTAATTCTTTTCTTCTATCCAAAGCTTGCATGTCCAAGTATTCTGCAGGATGCATCTATTATTACCCATCTTTCCACTGTACCCACAACCCTTCCCAAGCAGAAAAGTTGCAGAAGGACCTGAAACGGTATCTTACAAGGAAAATTGGGTTTGAAGCTGTCATGAGGATAAGGTGTACTAAAGGTATGACCTTGTAAAAATTATGTTACATGCTTATATCAAAATAGTGATACATTCACTATCATACTGTTACGAGTGTGTGCAATTATTCAGTAGTATTTTTTTAAGAAAAATACATGAGTGGATAAAAGTAATTTTTTGATTTATTCAAGAAGAACCTTAAGATGGTCTTTTGACCATCTTGAAAATGATTTGAGGAGAACTAAGGCAATAGAGAAGCTCTTAAATGAACACTTAAGAATCTTTGCCTTTATAATCACTTAGTTTACATTTCCTTGGATTTATGTGAGTGTTTGATTTCTTATTTTAAATCTAAGTTATAAGGTAGTCCTTATTTAATTTGCTTTGTTAGGTCCTTGACTTCAGATCACATGAGAAAATGTTCAGATTAGATATTGATACAGATTAAGAGCATAGTCTTCCTTTTGCATGCCCTGCATTAGTTTTTGGAATTAGTGCAGTCCATCTTTACCTCCCCTTCATCTATTTTTGGCTTTATGCTTTATTTTGAGACAAAATCTCGCTAAGTTGGCCAAGGCTGGGTTCAAACCTGCAGTCCTCCTGCTTCAGCCTCCCAGAATGCTGGGATTAGAATTGTACATCAATACGCCAGGCTCCCTTTATCTTTCCAACTTAAGTTTACCTTGAGGTCAAGAGAGTGTGGTTACTTGAGCTTTCATACAGTCTTGTCTGCTTTTCAGGTCTTTCAATGCACACCTTTCACGGAAACTTCTTTGTCCGCTCCACGGACCTGCTGTCTCTTGCCAACATCAATCCTGACGCTGGGTTCGCAGTGCAGCTGTCCATTGAGGAGAACTTAACAGACACCTCTCTAGTGTGCTTTCAGACGGCACTACTCTACACGTCCAGCAAAGGTCAGGGCCTCTGCAAGGGCCACAGCAGCAGCTGTCTCTTCCTCACACACTCTCTGGGGAGTGGGGCAGCATCATCCCCTGGGAAGCAGTGGAATTCCTGCCAGTTAATCAAGCCTATATTCTGTGGTGGGGGGAGTTAACTTCACTTTTTAATCTTCAAATAATACGTGTCTGCAGTGTTTGTGTATATGTGCATGTGTTATGTGTAACATTTATAGCCCTTAGATCATATGGTTCTGGTAAGCACCTAAATGCTGCTGTGCCGGTCCTGGTATTATTTCTTGCCCTGTAAAAGCGAATTTTCATTAAATTGCTGTTTCACCTTTACTTGTTATGTGACAGCTAAATTTTCAGATATTTTGCTTTGTTAGGTATAATTTATAGTGAGTGACATTAATAGAAATTAGAACTTAATGTTCAACTGTGTTAAAATTGTGTGTATAGCTGTAATCCCAGCACTTGGGTGTCTGAGGCAGGAGGATTGCTGCAAGTGCTAGGCCAGTCTAGACTACATGGTGAGTTTAAGGCTCACTGGAGCTACAATGTAGCATGACCCTCTCAAGCTAAAATTGTGTTTGATCCTAGTTGTAGATTTGGTAAATGTTTCATTTTCTTTAAGACACATTAATTGTAAAACTTTGTATTTATATTGCATTTTACCCTCCATTTTATATTGGGTTCACTAAATTTTTAATCTAGCTATATAGCATGCTAAGGAAACTTGTTATCTTTCTTCCTTAAATAACATTTATTCCCATTTTATTCAGGTGAGCGGAGGATTAGAGTACACACACTCTGCTTGCCCGTGGTGAGCTCCCTGGCAGATGTGTATGCAGGTGTGGACGTGCAAGCTGCTGTCTGTCTCCTTGCAAACATGGGTAAGTACAGAGTTAAAGAGTGGGCAAAACTTACTTTTCTATGCCAAAAACTGAGGGTGGAGCTGTTTTTTTAATTCTAAAGAAGTTCTTTAAAAATTTGTTTTTCCTTTCTTGGTGTTTTGAGATAGACTTGCTGCGTAGTCCGGCTGGCCTAGACCTCACTGTGTAGCCCTCACTGGCCTCAAACTTGCAGTGATCTTCCTCCCTCAGCCTCCCAAGTGCAGGAATCGGAGTGCTGGGATTACAGGGATCTATTGCCAAACCTGGCTGTCTGTTTATATTTACATTAGAACAAATTAGACTCTTCTATTTCTAACAGATTCTCAGTTTAACAATCATTTAACGAGCATGATCACTAGTGCAGTAAAAGCTTAATGAACTTCAGCTAACAAAGATAGGAACAAGCTGTACTATGTCAGTGCAGTAGAACAGAGCTCCATGATGCAAGAAAGGAAGCAGCAGAGCTGGGCAGACAGGGAAGACCTCAGAGGTAATGCAATATACATTACCTTACTTAATCCTTAAAATGCCCTGGATAGGTAGGCACTGTTTTCCTATGCAGCTCACTAGCTGAATAAAGCTAAACCCAAAAGGCCTGTTTGCTTTCATTCACATGATGTGGGAGAAAGGCAGTTAACCTGCAGGTTAGTATCAGCAATCTCTACTGCCAAGGTCCCTGCAGAGGGCGCCCTGGGGAAGGTGCTTGTACAGTAGTAGCAACTGATTACATAGGTGTGCATTTGACACACAGCCCACCAGAGAACTATACTTAGTGAACATCGTTTTGTTTTGGGTAAATTTAGACTTAAAATGAACTTTCCTATTTCCATGTAGTTCCAGAGCAGCATAGTTTTTATTACTCAAAATTATAGTAGTGTTTACTGAAGAAGCCCCAGACTATCCTCCTCCCAGGATTTCGTGCATGTTGGGTGAGCATTGTACCACTGAGCTATAACCCCAATCAGATCCTAATTTTTAAGGTGTCCTTTTATATCTGGATTTTAAATTATCTGTACTGTAACTGATTGTTTTTCAGTATACTTTTAATGATTGAACATATTTATAGATTTTTTTTCTGTTTTAATAAAATATGTTCTTGGGGAAAAGGTTCACAGAATTTGTTTCTTCAGTGTCCATAGGAAAATCTATGTTCATTTGGCCTCTTTTTGGGGATTTTTTTGTTTTGTTTTGTTCTGTTTTTTGTATTTAAGGAAGGGTCTACAGGGTGTTCATAATCTGACTACTAGATTGGACTCATAGTGATCCACCTGTTTACAGCCTCCCAAGAGCTGGGATTATAGGTGCACACCACCACACCCAGTCTCAATAGCTGTCTCAGGGTGCCCCTGGGGCAGGGCTGGGATTGAACCCCGGGTCCTTGAACCCACTTGCAGGCCCTTTAATCCACTGAGCTATTTGGCTGACCTTGGCCTCTTGTTTTAATTTGTTGACCTGGAGTGCTTTGCAAAGATCTTAGAGGATTGGGGCCAGTGAAGTAACCCAGAAGACTAAGTAGGCAAGTTTAGGCAAGCACAGGGAGCATGGTTCGATCCCCCGCACCATGTGCTGCGCTAGCCTTGCCCCCCATGGCAGGCTGAGCTGGCCAGAGTGTGGCTGTAGTGGCAGGTATAGTGGCGTACACCTGTAATCCCAGTGCTGGAGAGGCTGAAAACAGGAGGCTCACCATGAGTCTGCACTGCATAGTGAGACCATGTAGCAACCGAATACATTTAAAAAAAAGAAAAGAAAGATCTTAGAGGATCACAGAGACATAGTCCAAAAGAATCTAGATTTCTTCTGATTGTCAAATTTACTTAGGTTTAGTTCAGAAAAAATGTGTGATAAGCAGACACATCATATCAGAGAACTGGCCAGTCATGGTGCTGCCAACCTAGATTACTATATATTAAGACCCTGTCTCCAAAATTTTTTTAAAAAGGGGGCAGAGGAGCGGTAGAAATGCATCCTGTTTCTTAAGAAATGAAAACACAAGATACACTATCTGTTCTAGAGTTCACTGGCATGGTGGTGGTTAAAGTCTTTTGTTTTGGTTGCTTTGTAGCTGTGGATCGATCAGTTTCATCAAGTCTGTCAGATGCAAGAGATGCCTTGGTTAATGCTGTGGTGGACTCACTGTCAGCGTATGGCTCTACCGTCTCAAACTTCCAGCACTCAGGCTTAATCGCCCCTGCCTCCCTCAAGCTCTTTCCTCTCTATGTTCTGGCCCTTCTCAAACAGGTAGCGCTTAATATGTTGTTACCTTTAAAGATTTTTTAAATTCTTAGATATAAAAAATGAAATCTAGGTTGTTGCTTTTAATACTTAGAGAATTATGCATTTTAGTTCTGAAGACTTAAGGAAAAAAAAGTGGAAAATATAGATATATACATAGTATTTGTAAAAATATACTTGTTCTTTAATACATGTGAGCAGTTTGAATAATGCAGTCATAGCCCACTCTTCATATGTGCTTCTGAAAAGCGACTCTTAGGAAAGGATCTAGTTTTACTGACGATCTATCCATTGTCTCGGGCACTGTCATAGGTGCAATATACATTACCTTACTTAATCCTTAAAATGGCCAGGATAGGTAGGCACTGTTTTCCTATGCAGCTCAGAGCAGCTAAGTGACTTGCTCACATCCCTGTTAAATGTCAGATCTGAGAACTGAATCCACACTTTCTCCATAGTGGATGGTGTATGTTTGTCTTTGTCCACTGTGTTTGTTTTACTTGAAAACCTGTCCTCTTCCTTGTAGAAAGCATTTAGAACAGGTACAAGTACACGCCTGGATGATCGGGTATATGCCATGTGCCAGATAAAGTCCCAGCCGCTTGTTCATCTGATGAAAATGATTCACCCCAACTTATACCGAATAGACAGGCTGACAGATGAGGTAGGTGCTGTAGTGAAGTGGAAGTTGTTCAATTGGAATATGTGAGTGTTTTGATTTTACACTAAGGTTATACTGTATTTTCAGTGGTTTCTTTCATTTCTCCCCCTGCTAATGATTTATTAAATAAGGGTTCCAGCTGTGGAATAACATTCTCATATACTTGCAGTGTAACTTTTCTTGTAAGTTTAGTTGTAATATTTGTTACAAAGCTAAGCCATAAAGTGGGCATTTCCATTTGTATTCTGAGATGCTGGTAATTTCTGATACAATCACATCACAGCACTGATTGTTTAGTTAACCTAATCTGAAGTCCAACAATAATTCTAATGTGCAAATGTGTGTGGTACCTTTGGGTTTTGTGCTAAAACTAAACTCTCTGGAATTAATATTAATTCCAGACATAATATTATGTTTCTAAAGAAACGTAAAGAAGTAGCTTGTGGCTGAGGGGATAGCTCAGCGGCATAAGTGCCTGCCTAGCAAGCACAAGGTCCTGAGTTCGATCCCTGGTACAGGAAGGAAGAAAAGGAAGGAAGGAAGGAAGAAAGGAAGGAAGGAAGGAAGGAAGGAAGGAAGGAAGGAAGGAAGGAGGGAAGGAAAGATGGAAAGATGGAAAGACGGAAAGACGGAAAGACAGAAAGACAGACAGATAAAGAAGTAGCTTAGCATGCAGAAAGGTCAGCACTCAGGCTTCTACTGTTTCCTGAACCTGAAAGGGAAGTCAGCAGGGCAGAGGATTCCTGCTTTTATTCTTAGTTGGAATATATTTGAGTTTCTTGAGTCTATAACCAAGGTAGCATGCTTGCAGTCAGTATTGTTTTGTATCCTACAAAGTTCTTGAGTGTCTGCTCTTAGTATTCCATCTGGTTAGTGGCCGCTAAGCCCCACCCCGTGACGGCATGCTGATGGCAGCATCAACCCTTTCACTCTGTCCTCTCTTTGGCAGGGTGCAGTTCATGTCAACGACAGGGTGGTGCCTCAGCCGCCTCTCCTGAAGCTGTCTGCAGAGAAGCTCACGCGGGAAGGCGCCTTCCTCATGGACTGTGGCTCGGTGAGCACTCTCCACTGGCCTAGGTCTGGGTCGCCATGGCCCAGTACAGGCAGAGGCTGGTTCCATTCCTTGCTGCTGGTTGACACTGTGTTCCTAGCAGGGATTAGTGAGGGTATTACTATGAACTCAGTGTCCTTAAGAAGAAGTAAAGAGCAGTTCTTGCCTCCAAGGACTCAAAATTCCAAGCACTTCAAGAGTTTACCTGGTTCAGTTTTCTACAACCATTGTCAGAAATCTCAGTGATGAGTTTAGTTGAGAAGTCACTGCACAAGGAGGGAAATGATGTCAGTCAGTCAAGATAAAGGGCAAACCCTTAGGTGAAGTGGAGGGTTGGTAATAGAATAGTGGATGATGCCTGTAGCGCCAGCACTTTGGGAGGCTGAGGCAAGAAAGTCACAACTTTGAGCCCAGCCTGGGCAACTCAGTGACTTAGCAAGAACGTGTCTCAAAAATCACAAAAATGGCCAAGGATATAGCTTTGTGCAGAGGCCCTGATGAATTCGGTCATTATACCACCACCACCAAAACAAATGAGTGGGAACTATGATGAGTCATTTATTCTAATTAAAGAATTCCTGCTGGAAACAGACCACATACACATTATGAGAACCCTTAAAATTAAAACAAAGGTAGGAGTTCTCTAGAGTTGTGATAGCAAACCTTTTAGAGTTCTCAGTGATAACAAACAGCCCACTGTGGCACCTGTGCCATAGGCCACCCCACTGCTCTGGATTCTTGGGTGTGAATTCAGTGTGCCAACCACCAGTTTTCTGTCTTGCTTTATGTTCATCCCTACTGTATTTGTAATAACAGACTTGACCTTCTGCTTGGTCATTTTGAGAGGATTAACTGTAATGGGTTTTCTGAACTATTAAGTTGTTTCAATGTTTTGCGTTTTTAAGGTTTTTTACATTTGGATTGGAAATGGCTGTGACAGTCACTTCATAGAGGACGTGCTTGGATATCCTAATTTTGCATCAGTACCACAGAAAATGGTCAGTGAATTTTATACAACTTTGTTTTTCTTGGTTTTTGATGACATAAAATCTGTAAGGTTAACTCTGTTAGCCATTTTAAAATGTATGGTTCATTGATTTTCAAGTATCTTCAGAGTATCATATAGCCATCAGCAGTCTCATTTCTGCACATTTCCATCACTTTAATAAAGAGAACCTGTATTTCCCGATCTGTCCCTTCTCCTCCACTTTGCAAGCTGCTAATCTGCCTCCTAGCTGAATTCACAGTAATTAAAAGAAGCCTTTTAGTCTTGGGCTTCTCTTACCTCCAATCAAATCGGCAAGACCTCCACCATGTGGCTTGGGTTAGGGAGACTTGTAGGACCGGAGACTGTCCCTTGTTGGGCGTGGCAGCCATTTCTGTCTTGAGGCTGTAGTGAGCAGTGCTGTTCCACATGTCTGTGGGCATGTTCCTGGGTGCCAGGGCTTCAGCCACCCCATACCGTCCATGTTTACCTTCCAAAGAAATCTCACACTGCTCACAAACAGCATTAATGTCGCTCACTGATACTAGCCTAATATTTTCACTGGGCCTTTACTGAATACAGGTTTACCCATGCCAAGAAATGTGATGCTGGATTCTGGTTTCTTTCATCAGATTCAGAGACCTTTCTTCCATGTTGTAATTCTGTCCTTTTTCCAGAATTTAGTGTAAGTTCAATATAATCTTTGTCCAGATCTAGTGTTTGGATTTTATATTTTCAGAGTTGAGCATGAAAGTCTCCTCGGAGGCTATTTTTAGACTACAGTATAGTAGGTAACTGCTAAGTGGATTGGACTTAGTGGTGGCCCTGCATTGGAGTATTTCCTACGGAAGAAACAAAGGTGCATGGTGGCAAGAGTGATGTGCTAGCCACTGTGTATATTGAGTTTTATCCAGAAAAAAATCAGTACTGCATAAAACATGAGTGACATACCTCTGAGCAAACAGTTCTTTCTGATTTATCCAGAAAATTAGCAAGGATTTGCCAGCATTGTAGATGAGTGCTTCATGGTCACTTCTCTCAGGACCAGGCATAGAATCCAAGCACTTGATTTGAGGTCTGGAATCCTGATGTACTGCTAATTCTGCTAACATCTAGGAGAGGAATGGCTCCTAATTCTGTCTCTTTTTTCAGACACATCTTCCAGAGCTGGACACGCTTTCATCAGAAAGGACCAGATCCTTTCTGACGTGGCTTCGAGACAGCAGGCCCTTGAGCCCCGTCCTCCACCTGGTGAAGTAAGTGCCTCCACCACTGCACAGCGTCGCGCACCTCCCCGAGTGGAGATGTGGGCCCCAGCTAGCCTTCAGTGCTGCCATAATATGTTCCAAGCAGAGCACTTGATTAATAACTCCTGTTCCTTGTCCCTGAAGTTCCATGCGTTAGTGCCATTTTTAAACACCCTCAGATAAGTGTTTCTTACTCTCTTGCAGAGATGAGAGTCCTGCTAAAACAGAGTTCTTCCAGCATTTGGTTGAAGACCGTACAGAAGCTGCATTCTCATACTATGAATTTCTGGTTCATGTCCAGCAGCAGATTTGTAAGTGAAATAGAATAAAAGTGATTGAGAGTCAAAATGCATAACCTAGGTAGCACATAGTCTTGTCACAGAAGCACACGTGCTTGCTGGCTGTCTGGGGCTGTGGTGACTGGGAAGGGAGAAAGGAGCCGCACCGTCCCAACCACAGTGCCATTGCCGTGGCGCTGCCCCTCGCAGGCTGGAGTCGGCTCTACCGTTCCAGTAGTTGAGTTCCTGTGCTCTCAGCACAAGCTGGCAATCTCTGTAGCCATGTGGAATGACGTGTCATCATGTGAAATTAGATACATCTGTTTTCTTATGATTCCTACAACCTTTCTGGACCTGAATTCTGACAAGAGGCACCGCAAGGCAGTGGTTCCATGTTACTATGAGTTACTTTTTGACAAGGAATGGTTCCTACCTATTGTCCCTGTAAAGACAGTAGAGTTCCAGTACATGAGCTATAGAAAACTATATATATGATGTACATAAATGTTACATTTGTAAAGAAAATGTAAAAATGTAACTATAGAATATGAATTGCTTAAACTGTGCTTCTTTGTTGGATGACAATGCCTTTTGTCACAGTTAGAGAATGAGATTGACTAACACATATTATGAATTGAGGCCACAAAAGAAACACAAAACTTTGTAATTCTGTTAAATCTTTTATGTGGATTTATTTATGATCAGCCTACTAATTAAAAATATTTTGCTTGACAGTTGGTTTGGTGTTTTTTTGGATCTGTTTGGGGGTTGTGGTATTTTTTTACATACAAGATACATTGAATTCCCTTCTTGGGGGAACTCAAATGATTGTATATTCTGCTTAGGAATGCACATGTATCAGTACTCCTTCATTGGTATGTAAATATTACAAGTACTTGTTTTATATTCTAAAAACAAATGACACTTTTTAAAATACATTTAATTACTAAATATGATCTTAAATTCTCTTTTAAATTTAAGCATTTTTCCTGCGGGGTGGGTGTGTGTGTGTGTGTGTGTGTTGCTGAGGGAGAACCCAGAGGCCCTCTGCATACAAGAAAGCACCACCAATGAGCTCTGTTCCCAGCCCTTTTGTTTTCCAGACAGAGTTTGCACTGAGTTCCCCAAGCTGGTCTCAAACCTGTGATCCTCCTACCTCTGTTCCCTGAATAGCTGCAGTACAGATAAGTGTCATTGCACTTCCGTTCCTGCATGTTAGGAGCAAGAAAATGTGCGTGGTGTATGTGACTATCCGTTTTATTCAATTGACTAAGGTTACCATCTTGAACTTTGAGAGAATAAATTTATTCTTACTAAGAAATCTCCCAGAGGCTAGGTGTGTGCAGTGACACACACCTGTAATCCCAGCACTGTTGAGAGGCTGAGGGATGAGGATCACAAGATTGAGTCTTATTTGGGAAATTTATAGACTTAGTAAGACCATATCTCAAAATTAGAAATGAAGGGCTCGGTGCAAAAGCCCTGGGTTCAATCCTCAGTACCACCAAAAAAGACATATTTGGGGCTGGGTACAGTGGCTCACACCTGTAATTCTAGCTACTTGGAGGGCTAAGGCCGGAGGATTGCAGGTTCAGGGTCAGCCTGGGCAACTTACTAAGATGTTAGCTCAAAATAAAAGATGTTTTAAAAAGCTAGGAAGGTAGCAGAGGGGTGGAAGCCCGGACATCAGTCACCAGTGCCATCAGAGCACAAAGACTCTTGGGCTGGTGCTACCTCTCTGGTGCAACCTTCACTGGAATATGCCAGACACTGGGTTTATTCCTAGCACCACAGAAAAAAGAAATCTCTCATTCACTGGCAGCTCATTTACTACACCGACATGAACCCTTAGGCTGTGGGGTGGCCTTTTGTTTTATTTATTTATGTGTGTGTGTGTGGCCAGCTCAGCCCACCAGGGTTACAAACCCTCCGAAGTCCTGGCTAATAAACTTTGGAAGGAAACAGCTCTTGGTTTGCAGCACAGAGGGTTTGTACTGGTTCTGTGCTTTGGCGATCTCTTTTTAGATAAAAATAAAAGTGCTGTCACCCATTCCTGATGGGAATGGGAGGTTGACTCACCCTAACACTACTTGCTAATTAGTAGCAGAGCTGACAGTAGAACCAAGCATTCTACCCCCAGGACTCATTCCTGGGCCAAATAGCAAGAGCATCTTAGTGAACAGTGAGAGGAGTTGCACGGTGGAGGATGAAGAAAGGAGGACAAGACTCAGAATGCAGGAAGCTGAGGTCAAGTGGAGCCCCTCTCCTGATGGGAGAAAGGGAGCCGCCCAATGACTGCAGCACATTTATTCCTTTATTTATACACTCTGCAGGTTGATGTCAGATGAATCCCCTCTGCTTAACAGCTTGTTTAACTGGCTTTCCCTGGGTGCCCTGTGTTCTCTAGTTGGCCCTGCTGTATCCTGAGACGTCTGATGGATCTCCAGCTCAGCCGCTCCTCCAGTTACCTGCAGGGTCCCTGTATTCCCTATGTCACTGCATCCAGAGAGATGGGAAAAGTGGTTGAGGATCCCTGGGCCAGTCTCCATGGGATGGGACTAACATGTCACAAGATTGCCTAGAACATGAAGACAAGTGGCTGTGCCACCTCCACGGTGCTGCCCACAATACCTTGTGGCTTTGGACACCTAGGGTTCTCTGTGTACCTACACATTGTGTGTCACACTAGGCTATGACCAAGTCGGTGTAAGGCTTCCAGGCAAAGTCCCAGCAAGAGAGAGCCTTGGGCTGGTGAGATGGCTCAGTGGTCTAAAAGCACCTACTTAGAACAAGCTTAGCAAAGCACAGAGACCACGGTTCAATCCCCCAGCACCACATGCCAGCCAGCCCCGCCCCCTGGTGGGCTGAGCTGGCCACACACACACACACACACACACACACATAAATAAATAAATAAAATTTTAAAGAGAGCCTTGCTCAGTCATAGCGCATGCCCTGAGGAAAGCAGTATGACCTGTTAGCATACTGGGGTCATCGCACCCCTTGATCATGGAGCACATTCCTGGACAAGCAGATGGTAGTAGCCTGCATCTCAATCTGTCTTGCCTTCTCTCTTGATGGAGGCTACATCTGGTTATGTGATGTCACCTCATCACAGCCATGCAACCCCAGCATCTCCTCAGACTGAGGGACTCATTTCATACTCAAGAACTGCAGCAAGGAAAACTTGCTTATCTCAACTATCACCCAACAAGCCACAGGCTCGGTACAAAGGCGGACCATCTTCCAAAGACTATTCCAGAGATATCTGGGATGAATACATGTTTTGAATCTGCCAATAAAATGCTGTTCTGTAGCCAGAACACAGAAGTCTGAGAGTCAGGAATGGAAGGGAGCACATTCTGATCTAAGATTCCCAGACTCTGAGGGTCTTAGTTCCCACATATAATGCTCTTACTGAGTTGGAAGTTGGGGACTAGGGACTTCCTACTGGGGACTCCCTGTAACAACCACCAGAAAGGGGCTGGTGCCAGTGATGAAAAAAAATTGACTTGCTGCTTTTATGAGGAAGGGGACACTATCTAGGGACCTAGCAGATTTTGCAGAATGTCTCTACAGTCACCAACAAAAGAGTGGATTGCCTATGATCAAACGTTTCCAACATTAAGTCTGGAATTTCCAACAAGGCAGGGGACACAGAGCATTCTATGCCACGCTTGTGAGAAGTTGGGATACAGCCTGAGTGGTGCCACGGTGGTAAGCCTGACAGTGACTAGCATTCCTGCTCTGCATGTCACCTTATTAATGTTAGGCTGAATCTAACAGAGAGGGAGCCAAACAAAATGTGAAGGATGTCCCTCTCCTAGTTGTGCCAGGCTGTCCCTGAGCTCATCAGGCTTTCTGTCCCTCCCCGGGATGATGACCATTCCTTGGGGTGAGTCCACGTGGTTTTGTGGAATAAACATGTAGAGCACGGCCCACGGCTTGTGGCACTCAGGGAGCATGTGGTGAGTGTGGCCAGCAGTCTCACTCTTGGTCTTCATCCCCCTGCTGAGTTCTCTCCCAAGATTCCTCCCAAAGAACATACATTTTTATGCTGGACGATGCCATTTTAATTCTTAAGCTCAACCTATTACTTGCAACCATGCACTACTGATGGATGCATAGAAGGGAAGACACTGCCTCTATCCAGTAGGTACAGCCAAACTTCAGACAGCCTGCCTCAAATTAACTTCACACCTCGTCTCTCTGTCTCCCCACCACCACCACCTCCCAGGGACTCAGTTCAGCTGAGATTTTGCACTGAGCTACATCCCCAGCCCTTTTTTATTTTAAAATTTATTTATTTACTTTTTTT